TGCTTCATTCTGCCATGTATTCAAAAAAAAAGAAACGACAAGACTGCAACCATCTGACAAACATTAAGATTATCGAACTGATAAATTATTATCACTTTATAGTGTTAGACCTTTTTTATTCGTTTGCATATTAACTACGGATGACAGCACATGCAATTGTTGGCGATTTTTCGAATTCTACCGACGACGAAGATTATCAAAAGGATAGATTGCAGCTGGTAGCTAAGGACTTGAGGGTGTGCCATTGAAGAGAATACACTCATTTGTTCGTACCACATAGATAGGCAACATATTTAAGCACAAAGGATTTTAACAACAACAAAAATAAATTGGAATTAGAGTATCTAACGGAAGGAAGTTGTCAGTCAAAACTAGTTACTTTACAGAAAATGATGATGAAATGATGAGAAATTATATTTTTTCAAATTCAAATTATTACATATGTACTATTGAAATTGAATATGATTAAATTTTTTCGTTTTTATTTGCAAATCCTTTTTTCTTTTGGTAGCCTCTACTATTCTCATTCTTTTTATTATACTAGCTTAATTACGAGTTTCAGGAACATGTTCAGTGATAATGTAAGAATTAAATTCAATGAACAAGTTGGCATTTTGCCATATACAGATATCCATGCGTATAATTCATTTTGATTTTTTTCTGTTTTTATTTGTCTTTATACAGCGTTTAAGAGACAGGTAATTAGTATATTCTTTTTCGTACAAAGTTGACTGTGAGCAAGTCACTCAGGCAGATCATTTCATATGTACCTGGTGTAAATATATCGGCGATAGAATATAGTAAACAAATACATTAAAAAGGGCAAAATTAAAGAAAAAGAAACGAATATATTTACTCTCCCATGCTGCATAGGTAGAAAAAAATCATTCGACATAACAAGTAGACAGCGTTGCATAGATAACGCAGAGCCTTATCAAGTGGGTCTCAACAGATAATATTTTGTAAAATTTTTTTAAGTTATTTTATTTCTTTTTGGTAAATAACCTACTACACTCAGTCAACAAAAGCAGCATGCTAGATGTGTCAAAGACAAGTGAAATTAATAAATCTGTTTTAGATACTAGTCTACTTGTTTCGCCTTGATATTTTTATGTCACTTTCATTTAATATCTACATTAGTCATAAGTCATTCAAGATTTCTTTATGTTGTATATCAGACCATCTTCAAATCTTTAGATCGATTCGAACGCAGATTAAAAACATATATTCCTTCTCATAGCGATACATTGAAACTAACTTAAAATGTTTCAGATAATATAGTATAATGAAAATATAGGCTGCAATTAGATGAGTGTTGACATTCGTCCGTAATATCAGAGAAAAACAACAAGTATATACAATATTGGTTTCAACATGGTTCTTTTTTTATTGTACTGCGTTCTATACTACACTGAAAAAAAAATAGCACCACACGGAACCAAGAAAGTTTCGAATTTTCTCACTGAACTTTAAAATGGTTTCGCAGACACTACGAAACTTAAAAAGGGTTTCGAGATTTGAAACGAATTCTGAACCTTTTTTAGGTTTCGTAGGTTTTCCACAAAACCTTCGAAAAAGTTTCCTGGACTCTTGATAATAATGTTGAGACTATCTTGGGCTTTTACGAAACCTTTTTGAGGGTTTAGAATTCGTTTCAAAAATGGTTCCGTATGGTGCTATTTTTTTTCCCAGTGTACTACTCTGCAGTATTCTTTGACAATAATGTTTCTGACTGATACTTAACATTTAGATTTTGATAAGATACAAGTCATGCTAGTGCTACTCATCATAAGCGTGATAGTTTTACTCCTTCTCTATGTCAAACTCAAATATTACACTCTTCGCGGTCCTATACCAGGCCTATCGCCACATTTTTTGTTCGGAAATTTAATTCAATCGGGTATGTTGCTACAGGGTAAATCTCCAGTTGAAATCTTCTCAGAATTCAAGTCTCGTTACGGAGATATTTTTCAATTTTGGTTTGGTCCTACTCGTTACATTATTGTTAGCAATGCCAATGATATTCAACATATATTTACCAATCGACATATTTATGATCAAGGCAATATGTTTATTGAACAATTTTCTACTCTTTTTCCAAATGGATATATTACTTTAACAGGCTAGTCTCTAGTTTATTTGTGTTTTTGATAAGAAAATAACTTTTGTTATTTCTCATTGACTATAGGTTCCAAACACAAACGACATGCAGCGATCGCTATGCCCTTGTTTCGTCGAGCTAAAATCATCAATAACTTTGACTTAATTGTCGACTGTACTGACAAACTATTGTCTAATTGGAGTGCCATGCCGAGCCATCATGTACATTGTGACATTGTGCGACAATGTCAAAATCTTCTACTAGAAATATTTGGCTTAATCAGTTTTGACTACAATCTTGATGCACTCAACGAATATGATTCGAATCACAATGAGCTCACGAGAGCATTACACGTATTTATGAGTTCGTGTGCGTTGGTATTCTATTCGCCACCTATAGTAGGCACATTGTATACGCATCTCAACTATCGACATCGACAAGCGAAGGCCATTATCGAACGTCACATATATCAGCTGATGGACAATGAAATGGCTCAGACTAGAGAGTCAAGAGCAGAACGCAAGAGAACATGTTTGATTGCTTCACTCGTGGCTTCTCTGCAAGAGGACGAAGAAGCAGAAGCGAAAAAAAGCGAAGATAAGAAAACAGGTAAAAGTTATTTTCAGTTCAATTCATTCCAAGTGTGTTACTAGAGTCCGTAAATGCAGCATTATAGTAAGTAAAAATCTTCCTGCTAGAAGACTTCGTTAGTCATCTACAATGTTTCAAACATTCTCTGAGACAATCTATGATCACGAGTAGTAATTCCAATAATATGTTTTTTTTTACTTTTGACTAGGTCTCTCGCGAGCAGAAGTATTACAAGAGATCCTCGCTTTCATGGTTGCTGGCTTTGAAACCACATCTACTGCGTTGGCCTGGTTCATTCATGCGATGAGCAAGTATCCAGATGTACAAAACAAGATTAAAGAAGAACTGATGAGTGTCAGTGTTAATCAGAATTTGACACTAAATCAGCTTGACTCTTTAGTATATTTGGATTGTGTTATCAACGAAATTCTGCGCTTTTATCCAATTACTTCTGGAACTGTTCGTACATTAACGGCTGACGACCGCCTTCCTGAAAGTAACTTTCAATTGAATAAGGGGGATTCAGTGTTGATTCCATTTTACAATTTGGCACACAATACTCAACATTGGTCGATAGATACTGAGAGCTTTGCTCCAGAAAGATTTTTAGACGAAGACAAAAATCATCATCCATATGCATTGCTTCCATTTGGTGGCGGACATCGTCAATGTATTGGACAAGCTTTAGCACGGTTTGAACTTAAAGTGATTATTGCCAGAATGTTACAACGAGTAACATTTGGAGATGGTGGACCGAAAATTAATTCAGGTGGACATTTTACAGGACTCACCATGCAACCAAAACATGTTGGTGTTACTATCGAATTTTCTTAATCAAAATAGTTGTATGGCTTTCAATTCATCGTCGAACATTATGACATAATCAGACGTTATACTTACCATTTACTAGTAAACTTCGTGGTTTCGAAATAAGAAACTGAATATCAGTGATAATTAACTACATGAAAATGTAAAAGCCTCTTAGTTTTTCACTAAAACCAAAAGCTCAAATATCTCGCTGACACAAATCATTCTTGGCTAAAATCAATGTGAGTTTGCTTCAAGGGGGGGAGGCGGATTTGAGATTTTGAAGATTTTCAAAATCCCAAAATCCAAACCGTGAATGTTGGAATTTCCATCTGACTTTTTTCCCACATGCAGATGTCATGATCAAGAGGGGAAAGCGGATTCCGTCTATCCGGGATACGGTCACAATCCAAAGGATACGTAGGATCCAGAGGATATGATTAAAATCCAGAAGAGAGATCCAATAAAAGAAAAAACACATAGTAAACCAGGAATCTTTATGTTTTAGATAAAAATGGACAATGGATTGCGCAAGTGTCTAATGTTTAATTTGCTGTCATGGGTAATCATTTTCGTCCTACAACTTCGTAAATGTTGTACAGCCACTAAATAATAAATTTTCGTGTATTTCTCGTTTTTTTGTCGGAACTTTATTCCTTAGAAATGAATGATATCTTATTAAATAATAATAAAATGACAGAAAATCATATCTTCGCCTTCAAAAATGATGATCTCTCGATATCTATCTCAGAATGGATACAATTAAATGCCTAATGAATATCATTCTGCAGTATTTAACCAATTGTTCGAACAACAACGAAATGAACGAGATGCGTACAAAGCTGTGGATCAACAAATCATGTTGATAAGAGATGATGCAGCAGATAAAGTCTTTTGGTTGTCTATTATTTAACTAATTAAATTATCTATTTGTATTTAGGTAGATGAAAATGAAGAAACCCAAGAACAAGTAGACGAAAATGACGAAGAACAAGAACAAGAACAAGCAGCTAATGTTGTACGAGTACGTATTAAAAAAAACAATTTGATTCTTCTGTGATAAACTGATAGTTAAATAGTATGAACTTGTTTTGACGATAAACAACATAGATAAGTGTGAAAAGTATTTATTGATAGATTGGATTGTTATTGGTAGAGTCGAAGTAAATAATTAATTTGATAATATTGATAGATATCTGGGTGTGGGTGTGGGGTGTGGGTGTGGGTGTGAGTGTGAGTGGGTGCGGGTGTGTGGGTGCAAGTATCGGTCTTATTATTACACCCACACTCACACCCCACACCCTCACGCAGGTGTCTTTGTGTTATTTGCTTCATGAGTTCAACAAATGAAACCGAACCTGAAACTTGGCTCTATGATGAAACGAACAAAGACTATGCCTATGACTATCACAAGGCATTCTTATCAATGTTGAACTCCGTCGATGCACCTTGTTCTCATTGGCTATTGAAATCGTCTGATCATGCATTATATCCCGATACTTTTTCCCGTCACTATCCGAATGCGAAAATGATTATGCCTCATCGTCATCGTGACCACGTTTTACCATCGGCTTGTCGTACGGTATGGGGATTCAATAACATATTCTTTCATGATAAAAATTTCGGCAGCTCGAAATACATTGAACATTCGAACATTTCGATACATGGATACATCAATCGGACGCATTGTGAAATTTCGTACCTGTCATCATCAATCGTATAGAAATATTTTTGATATTATCTATGATGATTTGATCGAGCAACCGATCGCTACTGTGCATCGTATCTATGATCATTTCAATCTATCTTGATCAGATGAATTCGAAACAACCATGACTGCTTGGCTTCGTGATAATCCTCAAGGTAAACAAGGGCGACATACATACAATTTAGCCGAGTATGGTCTCAATTGTGACGATATCGAAGCACGGTATGCTGAGTACATTAATATGTTTCTTCCTGCTCGAAAGAACTTTTCATGATTCGAATGCATCTAATACACTTGTTGTTATTGAATATGACGTGCATCAGGACTTCGCGTGGGATGGGACACTCCCATTCCATGAGATGTCATCGGACTAGTTTATTATAAAAATAAATTGTTTTCAATTAATAGATACCTATAAATGTATTTTCATTTTTCAATTTGACCATGTTTCATACTTATAACTAGTATTTATGTATATGCATAGCATCGACAATGCGATGTGTGGTATTGTGAAAATAGTTTTGTTTGTAGCTTAAAAAAGAAGCACATGTTGTATTCTTTATTATTAAGTATTGGTTATGGTTGAAAAGAATTTAATTGATACTTGTTTCTTTTATGGTGTTGATAAACTCATTTGTTGAATTAGTGCCAATGATACAGAAAATTCACTAGTACGAGAAGATTCAACTGGAATGATCTCAATACTATTTTTTTTCTGTACACAATTGAATATGAAATGTAGAGGTGCAGAATCTGTCATAAAAATGGAAAATTCTCTCAAATGTAGGTGAACTGGAAAACGTTTCACAGACTGAATTGTCTCGCAAAGCAGTATTTCTACAAAATTGTTTACAAAAACGTTTCTTCTAATGACGTTGACATATGCACGTATATTTTACACCACTGTTGAAATGGATGCATTATAAATACATGAATCGCATCGACTCATTTATAGTCACATTCCTCACTTCAATTCAAACATTAAAATCAGCTGAACGTATTGGCTTGATGCTATCATGGGAGTCAAAATTACTAGTGTAAGATGTTTTCTTCTTTGAATATATGTTGAACTATTTTTAGTCAAAGCTGTAAACTACGATTGAGTGCGAATAAATAAAAATAAAAAAATTAACACGAAGAACATTTTATTTTACTTTTTTTTTGTATCAATCTTTCTGATGCGCCTATTTTTAAAAAAAGAATCGATTATGTTGTCACTAATGCAACACAATACAAGTAGCAGGGCTAAAATAGAACAAACAATAATTGTTTTAGCACCTGTTACTTGATTTAAAATGAATGCACCGATAAAACACACAATCAGGCCTATAATAATATTATCGATCCATTGACACATACGAGTTTTTCCTATAAGAGAAAAAAGACAAATTATAATCCAAAAAGTTCTATGAGGTTATTAAAAACGACCAGATTTCCGAATTTTTGTGAGTATTTTGAGACGACAGGGACTTAGTCAGGCTCATTAACAATTCACAGTGAATAATATTGGTCTTTGACCATAAAATTAATTCGAAAAGTTAATAAAAGATTTTTTATTTTATATGAGCAACATAAATATTTATTTTAATAAAATAAAATAAATAAATCGACAACGAACAAAAAAAAGACACAATATGTGCATATTATTTTAGTCCGACTTAGTGCGTCTCTGTTGTGTAAAGCCAAGCCATTCGAATAGGATTTTCCCTATCAGATAGAAGAAAATAGAAAATATACGATCTTCTAAGTGAATTGACTTTTGAGAATGTATGGCAGGGGTGCAGCATCTGTCGAAAAAATAAAAACATCCCCCAACACGACAATTTTCTTTTCGAAAAATTTCTCACGCTATAAAATTGAATAATAAAACAAGGCATTCTCGTTGAAGATGTACGTATATGTTTCAAAAAAATTGTGAATAGTCTACAACTTGTTCTTTCATAATACTTGCTATTGATGTTCTAAATGTCTCAAAAAAACTACCGGCTGTCTAAATATAACAGAAGTAACTTATATACATTATGCAAAGATTACAGAAAAAAATTGAATTTATCTATATGCACCAACAGGTGCTCCAAATAACTCTTGTAGATTTAGCGTATCAACAAATGTAAGATCACCTAAACCATTTTGAATAAAAAAAAAAGCAACTCTATAACAGTCAATCCAGCTTTCTTATTCTGCTTTAGAAAATCTTCAAAAGCTTGTTGCCTTTCTTTTTGTTCTCGCGCACATTATACACAAGTGATTTGTTTTTGAAAACTGCAATTCTAAATTATCTTTTAAACTTTGAAATCGTTGTGATAGAAGTTCATTTGCTTTTTGTTTAATATGTTGAAAAATCTTAAATGAAGATTTCATGACCGCTTATAAATGTTTTGGTGCATGTTTTCTCCCGATAGAACGAGGCAAACACATGATTTTCTCTAAAATATCATTGATTTCTAAACCTCTTGCCACAATGAAGTCATCTGAGCATATAACAGAATCAAATCATTGTCACATCACCTGCTTGTGCATATGATGATGATGGTGAATCTCTATTGGTTTTTTTTCCTAAGTTAATATTGAAGGTGAAGTGACAGTGTTAATCTATGAGTTTTATTAAGTCAGGAGACTATAAAATGACATTTTCTTGCTGTTATTTTTCAAATTTAACATCATTGATAAATGTTCTGCTACTTTCAGTTATTTCTTTGCCAAAATCATATCTAGTCAAGTTATTTTCGAATCTTTCATTTAAATGTTTCTTCATGATGTTCTTTTTTCTAATGTACTTTTGCATTATCTTGTCGTCCGAATCATCCACAATAAAAACATGGTACCTGGTTACGGGTGCACCAATTCCAATTCGAGTCCATTCAATTCCTGGAATTGGTCGGCATTGATTGGAATTGGAATTGGAATTGGTCTGGAATTGATTGGAATTGGAATTGGAATTGGTTGGAATTGGAATTGGTCTGGAATTGATTGGAATTGGAATTGGAATTGGTCGGAATCGGTTTAGAATTGGTAGGAATTGGTTGGGATTGGAACTACTCTGGAATTGGTTTAGAATTGGCCTAGAATTGGTTCACAATTGGTTTAGAATCGGTCTGAAACCGGTATAGAATTGGCTTTAAATGAGTGTAGCATTAACTGAAATTGATGGTATAATTGATTAGTTTTGACTAGCAAGTGCTTGAATTTGCCAAAATTAAAATAAAGAAAGTGGGATGTATAAGGCCTTAAATCTGAAAATTGAGATTTTTATCATAAAAGCTACAACTTGAGCCCCAATTAATAGCATATTTGGAATCAGCGCAAAAAACTGACTCGAGCAATGTACATTTTAAATACTTTCGGTAACTTTTTTTCTACCGAAAATTCACTGGGAGTGCCCATCAGGGTTNCATGTCATCAATTTCGGGCACTTCCTCAATTCCACACCACTTCCAACCAATTCCAATTCCAATCAATTCCACACCAATTCCAACCAATTCCAATTCCAATCAATTCCACACCAATTCCAACCAATTCCAATCAATGCCGACCAATTCCAGGAATTGAATGGACTCGAATTGGAATTGGTGCACCTCTATGCACATACACAATGGATGTTTCCAGGTGAATGAATCCGACAATGGATCTTATCGAACCCTATCGGAACCGACTCCCCGACAGAATCCAGTAGGATTCCTGGACACGGACCTATTGTCGGTTCCGACGGAAAAAATCATTTCCTTATTCACGATCAAATAAGCATTTTGAGTCATCAGAGCGCAAGGGTGATTCGTTACAGTTGGATTCCGTTAAAATCCAACATAAGATCCGATTGAATCCAATACCAAGGAGCAGCCTGCAGGTCCGTGTCCAGGAATCCCATAAGATTTCGTCGATTTTATTGAAACACATATAGTATTCGGTATATTCACTGTCTGATCCTTGTCGGAATCCGATAGGGTCCTACTGTCGGAATGATTCTCCTGAGTTCTGTTCGCTTTGTTTCCACCTGATATACGGTGCTATTGCATTTGTAAGCACTATATACAGAGAGAACAGGAAAAATCTCATAGGCTGTATGTTGCATACCACTCTTATATATAAGCACATTGCGCTAAGTATAGGTGTCGTAAAGAAATAGTACTGCATTATGTATGAGAATTGATGAAGTGCACGAAATTGATGACATGGTGTATATGTACAGGGTGGCGCAAAATTCACTATACCGAAAAAAAATTGAATATTCCCCTTATGGCGTGAGCAAAGGAGCTGCTTTTTTTATCAATGATAGAGGTATGTGTAACGAACAACTAGATTAGAGTAGCTTGTGCCACTCTCGGCAAAGATGTTTATTAGGCTACTTCAAGTTATCCAAAGTGTAACGACAAAACTAGAGTGTCGCCTATGCCCGTCGGCATGATGGTGTATTGTGTCATCTGACATCTCCAGAGTGTCCCAACTGCATACATAACGCACGTATATATAGGAGAGAGATAGAAGAGAGACAGGAGAGAGATACATTAGAACAATGGAAAGAGAACAGAAAGAGAAGGAAGGAGAATCATCGAAGCGTGCCATCAATATCGGCACAGTATGTTCAAGCTTTATATCCATATAGGCACGGTTGAAAAGAATCTGTGTTAAGTACCACTATTGAACTCAACAAAAAATAATTCATTTTTCAGAAATAGAAAAAAACAGTTAATGATAAAGAAAGGACAGTTCATCAAGAAAAATAGACATTTTTTTAAAGTAAATTCGATTGATTCATCACACTCTAGCAGAATAAACTTTCTTTTCTTTATCATTAACTGTTTTTTTTCTATTTCTGAAAAATGAACTATTTTTTGTTGAGTTCAATAGTGGTACTTAACACAGGTTCTTTTCAATCGTGCCCATATTGATATAAAACTTGAACATACCTCTATCACTGATAAAAAAATCAGGTCCTTTGCTCAATCCATAATGGAGATATTCAATTCTTTTTTCGGTATCGTGACTGTTGCGCCACCTTTATAAGATAAAGCGCTGAATTGTTGCTTTTATATAAGACGATTTAAATCTATATTTGTCTCAGGGAGAATTAATATTTAGGTAAAATTAAACAGTTTTAAAAACATTCGAAAATTGACAGTGAAAAAGAAGATTAGGAATTTACCTTATGCATGAAGTTACTATCAATTTTAATTGAAATTTAACTGAATTTAGAAATTTACCGCGTTCACCACTATTTTCAATAGAAATTTAACTCAGATTTTTGAAGATGTACTCAAGTAAATCGATATAACTGTCAGCATCTTCACTAACTACATTCATTTACTGCCTGAAATAGCACGCAGACGGACATTACGAGCCATAATATTTGGAACAGCAATACGGAGTCCTATGCAGGTTCATCTATTTCAACCCGGACTTGAGTAGACAAATTATTTAGAACACAAACCCGATCCAAACTGCAACTCGGAACCCGACACAAGCAGCAATATAAAAACTATTTCTTTTCAACAAAAGGATCACTTTATTTCAAATATTTATACGCATATTCTTGATGGTGTTATTCAAAGAAACACTAGTGAATTTACACGAAGGTGCACGATTTTTAAGCGTAACTGAACAACTAGCTTTAGGTTCATAGATAACTATTTCGCTCACAGTCTGAAACCACGATTATGACGCAAACACTTCGGGGTTTTGCTTTTTGTTTTTGCGTTTAACGGGTTTTTGACAAATTTGATCTGCTTGTTTAACAACAAAATTTAAAATACAAAAAAGAGGCCCTTTTTATGATTAAAAACACCTCGTATGTATTCGTAGATTGTTTTGCATATCAACCGATAAACTTCTGTTTCATTGTTCATTCTGTGTAACAAAGACGGTTACAGGGCAATGCGAATGAATTGAGTCTGAACTGTAAAAGACCTAAGAACTCGATAAAAAGGTTATTACTACATTCAAATCAAGTATTCAAGTTTTTTACGTATCTTAGTGAAAGCGTTACATTTGACTAAGATATCTTCAAAATTTACAAGAGAACTAAACACGATGAAAAAAGACAATGAAGATTTGCAAGAAGAACATATATAATTGTTCAAAAAAGTCTTCAAATCTCAATAACAAATCCGTAGATCATGGCATTAAAAGATCACGAAACAACAAAATATTCACCATAAAAGCGGTATATACTCACATCACAACCGGGGCCAGCGCGAACTAGTAGGAACAGGAGGTGTATTTTTGAAAATGGGAAGAAATCCAAAGCATTCTATAAAATGCTGGATATATAATTTAAACTGTTCAAATACAAGTTATTAAAAGAATAATATTCATTGTTGGTTCAGGTATTCAACTAAGAATATTAGAAAAGGTAAAAAAACAAAGAAGTTAAACAAACGGAATCCGATGATTAATTTTATTGTTTATATACACATTCAAAAGTAGGAAAAACCGCTTTTTTCGAAACGAAGAAATTTTTTGAAAAACAAAATTTATTCTTTTGTACTGTGTAGCATGGCAGATCGAATGACAAATGAAATTCAGTTCCACTGTTTAACATAAAAACTAGATAGTATTACAAAATTGGTAATACCCTACTGAAGCATCGGAGGTTATGACAACTCTCGTCGACAATAATCTCCCTTCGAAATAGTTTGAACATAATTTTTTAATTCAATTTCAAAGCTGAACCTGGACACAGTTGCTAGATTTATCGAATGGTATATAATACATCAAAAAATGAATTATCCTCTATTTTTGAATCATTTTCACCTTACAAACGTTTCTAAAGCTGTTGAATTTCGTAGGAGTAACCTTTTATTAATTTGAATAGAAAATAACTGCTCGCCCTAATTTGATTAAACCAGTCACAAAATATTTCTAATCTCAATCAGGGTGTGTGTGTAAGGTTTCGGCTACAAGAAGAGTGATGCCCACACCCATTTTATATCACACCATCTGCAATGGTTCTGACTGATGCTTGGCATTTAGATTTTGATGAGATACAAGTCGTGCTAGTGCTACTCATCATAGGCGTGATAGTTTTACTTTTTCTATATGTCAAACCCCAATATTACACTCTTCGTGGCAAGGGGAAAAAAGCGGATTTTTTGAGATTTTAAATCCAAAAATTAAAAATCATTTCACCCCCTGTTAATGACGTAGTTTCGACCTGAAATTCTTCCCATATATAGGTTTCATGATGGATAGAAGATCCTAAAAGTTTCAACTTGAACAAATGTTTTCTTCTTAAAATATTGAATTTTCCAAAACACAATGCATTTTCTGACCGTACCGCAAAATGAGCATTTCTTGCGCATTCATTATCTTGAGAATAAAACATACGTTTGTGCTGAAAATTTTAGAATATTCTAAGGATCATGAGACCTAAATGTGGAAAAAAATTCAGCTGGAAATTCCGTCATTCACGGTTTGGATTTTGAAAATCCTAAAAATCCTAAATCCGTCTGTTTCCCCTTGAAGCAAACTCATATTCATTTTGGCCGAGAATTTTGCTGTTGACTCTTAGCAGCATGTAGTATCTTAGTAACCATCGACATGATTGTCTACTTTCATATTAATGTTAAAGTCATTTTGAAGATGTAGTTGATAATGAATCTAACAATTACATAACTTCCATGCCTGAAATCGATTTTGTACGGTACATTGAAGAAAAAATGAAAATTTCTATTTTTTTTTGCAAAATCAATTATGAACACAAAATGGCCTTGAAATTCCATGATATATCTATATCAATTTTTGTTATCATATTCGCTTGAAGATTTCATCATTGTTAATCTATTTAAAAAAAAAGTTCTTCATCTATTCTAATTGAAAATTTTCAAGTGTGTCCAAGCAGAGCTCTAACAAATATGAAAAACTATTTTTAATGTGTCAATTACGTAACACGAGCATATGCATTTTTTCACCGACCTCTTCTCTTTTTTGTTGAATGATTTAACCTTCAATCTCAAAGAGAACTCATGTATGAATGACTACCATTCTGTTCATTCCTTTTTCTTCTTCTCGTTCTCCTTCAACTAAACATTTTTTGCTACGACTCGTTGTTACAATCAAAAGAGCATAACTAGTAAGAAAAGAAAAAAAGAAGAAATCATCTTCTATATGAACGTAACATACTTGCCTAAAATCGAGGCCCATTTGTTTAGACAAAAATTTTTATCTCGACAATTCTTTACTTTGGATTGTAAGGTAGAATAGGATGCATTTCGATTCTAGATGCGTTATGGCACGCAAGATAATGGTGAACCTATTTTTAATGATATTCGCATTGACCTTCAAGGCAACAATTTGAATACTAATCAACATACGACTGAAAATGATCAACGATCAAACAGCTCAATACCGAGTCGAATATCCAGATTTTCAGGTGAACTCGAGAAAAAATAAATAAATAAAAATTTGATTAATTTTTATCTTTAAAGAATATCCTCAAGTTCGACCAACAAATCCATTATATTCAAGTCAATCAATATTTAACACTCAGGGCTTGAATCCGCTAGCGTCAGTTGCAAAAAGTTCAGCAACATTAGTAAATCGTCGTCAAAAATTTGATCCTCAAGCACCACGTCGTCCACCCGATTGGCGATGGCTAGCTATTCTATGTATAATGTTGTTCTTTCCAACTGGTATGTTAACCTAAATGAATTGGTTTTCTATTCTAACAACTTGTTTTTTTTGTAGGTCTATTGGCTTTTGCATTTGCTCATAAAGCCCAAATAAAATTCCGTAATGGCTTCATAATCGATTCAAATAAACTTAATAACCGTGCATTAATTCTTTGTATTATATCAATATTATGTGGTATTACATTGATCATTGGTCTTCTGTTTGGCTTCGATGCTTGGCCAAGAACCAACGGATAAAATAAAATCTCGATCGTTTTCTTTTTGCTTCCGAACGGTATTTCATAATGAAATAAACCAATCTGTGTCTTTTTTGTATTTGCTCGACTGCATTCATCAGTTCAGATTATTATTTTATATTAAACATGATCTTAGATCCAGTTACAAAATAATCAACCCTTTTTTTGTCTATCGTTTATAGTAACAATTGCTTTGCCAACTGTTGTGGCTTGTATAAGTGATATGATTGTAACAGCTGATTATATATATATATGGAAAAAGAAATACATTATAAACACATGTAGAATAGCTATTATTGCAGTAAAATACTGGTAAAAATGGCATACAGTACTCATTGATTTTTTTCTGAAAATAATTTTTTTTTATTGAGATTTTTTAGTCGAATTTGCAATAGTCTTACGTGATTTTTTTTTCTTCGATAAATGAGACCTTCATCAATGGCTATGTTGGTATGAACAAAAATGCAGTACTACAGTTGTATTTGCATTGTCTTTTGGCATTTTTATAGTGCACGACGAATTTTAATTCAAAGTTCAATGAAGAATCGCTTAAATGATTACTAACCATTTATTTTAAACCGCTTTACATTATCCTGTCAAATGAAAATATGACTCTTTTTTACAAGAATTTGCAATTTTCTGAAAAATATAGGAAATTTCGAAACATTTTGATGGCAGATTGAATGAGTATTATTGATGTCAACAGGGTGCACTTTTAAAATTGATATCTACCAAATCAGTAGTTCGATTTGAATTTTCCTGAAACAGCACAACTAGTTTTATTTATGCACATCTGGTCTAACATAGAAGTTTCAGAAATTGTTTTCAGCCGTACTCGTGGATGTCTCATAAAATCAATTTCATTTCACAAGATGCAACACTGTGAGAAAAAAACTAACGTGCAAAAATCTTTTTATAGATTCCTGTGTGGATCTACATTTTATGCTGTGAGTCATGTATTTATGTTTAGATATAAGAAGCCCAGTAAACGTTTCATCATTAAATTAATAAAATGACTAATGAATCGCACTGATACAACAACAAAAAAAACTAGTCCAGGTAACAATCTTATCATGTCAACATTGATTCATGCGTCATCTGTGTCTTTCTTCGCAAGTGTCATATTCATCATGACTCGGTAATCAGTAATGCACTATCGAATTAAAATCTAGTAATAGCTGTTTCATTGTTGGAAAAGATACAACTATTAAAATACATTTTAATCTGCTCGAATCTGTTCACTTTCTCACAGCTTTTATTTAAGTAAAAAGAAACAACAACATAATTAGTTAGAAAAGAAATCAATTGATATTGATCCATAAGTAGACATCTCTTCTGCTAGTAATATAATTCACATCACTCAAGCACTGAAAGAAATGATAAACAAATAACATCCAAACAGAATGAAAGACACAAAAATACATGCTACATATAAAAGAAAGAAAGAAAGAAAAACAAGCAACTGTTTTGTTGTTTTTTAACCTTGTGTGCTCTAATAAAATCTCATTTCGTTAAAACTACAATCATGAGGCAAAGATATTGTTGTTTGTGGTGAATAGGCAGATTCAGTTTCCAATGTATAATTTTTTCCTTCATTATTATCCCAATGTTCTTGCCCATTGACACGATAACGAAGGACGAAGTCAGCTCGATCAATATCATCTGGAATATCAATATTAAATTCAAATTTATCTAGATTACGAATATCGTTTGAATGGTAAAGATGAGTAGCTTCATGTTCATATTTATTCGACTAGCGATTGAATGTATATTGAACAGTAGCACTTTTATGATAACCAGCATTGGTTACCCAAAGTGTACCGTAAAGAAATTGTTCACCAGTCATTGACGATTTGAGACGTATACTAGCATATTCTAATTTTATTTGGGATTTCCATACTTCATGTAAATAGATTTCCGGATGTTCGGAGTTCGGTTGGCGGAATAAACAAAAGAATCTCTTTGGTACGCGAATTTCAGGAGTTTGTTTTGATGCAATTTCGACATCAAACGCCCATGGTTTATGTTCGAAGTTTAATGATTTTGGCACGTACACATTATTTTTTAAAAATGAAAAATTCGTTGAATCATCATCGGTTAATGATTGAATGTATTGCACTTGTGCTAATTGACGACCAACTGAATCAGCAAAACGAACCATCTTTTTTATTGCTCCAGTAGAACCACTTAGTTTTAAAGCACCCGTAGAAGCATTTCGACTGGCACTTGATAGGGGTGCATTGACTATGAGTGAGGTTGGAGAAGAGGGCGGCGTCGATAGCGATGCAGAACTCGGCAATTCATTAGGTACGAAAAACTGAACTTGATTATCAGATGTAGACTCTTGCGATACGGATGGTGTCTGTTGGTATGGTGGTCGGTATCTTAGTCCTGAAATAAAGATTTCAGCAATCTTAAATAAGAACTATATTTTCACTTACTTCTTACTCTAAATCGGCCTGGAGAAACCGTTTTATCATTGAGCTCTTCGTTTTTCACTGAGTTATCTTCCTTTTTTTCATTTAATGAAATTCGTTCAAGAGTTTCATTAAGATCTTCTACTCTATCTTCTTGATTACTATCAGTTCGTTCTATTGAATCTGTTTCTGTGAGTTCATTTTCATCGTTCGATAGCGATGTTCGCGTTAACGACGTACGTCGTTTTCGCCTGCGGAAATGGCGTTCAGCATTTAATGGTGAATTCGAATCTAATATACTATCGCCAATCAATTCATCGGATATCCCTGATGATAAGATACTGTTTAGTGTATCACTGAAATAGAATTTATTAAAATTGTTTTGTCTTGTTCAACTTTAATATAAACCTTATTTCATCTTCTTTAACTATTGGTTCAAATAGATCCCCATTGAAGTTGTGCAATTTTTCTTCTTCATGATTGGATTCATTTAATGATTGCAACGAATTCGTCAAAGGAAAATTAATTGAATTCGTATCTAGAAAAGTTTTCGCTGTTGTATCGTACATAGATTGTTGTTGTTCATTTGAAAATGTTTGTAGAAAATGTAGGAGATCGGCTGGATCTTGTTTATAAAAAAATAATCCTTCGTCAACTTCATGCCCCAAAGGTACAAGAGTGTCAGTTTGACTTGATGATGTTTGGTGTTGAACAATTACATGAGCCATTGTCGAATTTTCTGAGGATAGCGAATCAAAATCTAGTAGTGGTGTAGACGGATGAATAATGTCCTCCTATAATAATAAGAAAAATAAAAGTTTGTTAGGGTCAGCAAAGTCTATTTTTTTCTCTTCCTACAAAGTTATTGAGTTCTACACAGATATCATTCATACTCAATGTCCGTTTCTTTCTACAGACATTTGAAGGTTAACGAAAAAAAGTATTGTGTTTGTGTTGTATTTCTTTTTAGATTAGTTAAATAACGCTTGACCAATGTGTACTAAGTCGGTCTATATCAGGCCATTTGCTGATTATTTTTTATATGTGAAAAAAAAACGATATTGATTGGGTAAATGAGTAAACGCATCGGTCAATAGTTCATTCTATAACTGTTTATCTAATCTACTCTCCCTCCTGTTTTATTCGATTGTTCATCATCTATTATGTTGTGTGGGCAGTAACTACGCAGATTAGATTTCTGTGCTATTAATTAACTTACGATTTATAGTAGCAAGAGAAATGTAGGAGATCAACGAGATGTTGCTCTTTTTTTCCGTTCTATCCTTCCATATCTACTTGTTTCGGCCTTGAAACTAACCAGGTTCTATTCTTACCAAAAAACATGCATGGACCAAAACAAAGCAATTGCACGTTTGTTCGATGATTTATGTTACATAAACATATTATGTCTGCTTTGCTTTTGGGGTAAATTGCAAATTATCACCTTCCTATATATATAAGGGGTTGAGAAAGTATACGAAAAAGTACAGATAAAAAAAACTCAACATATTTTCTTTGGAATTGTCTATTTGCTGTTTTGAAATTACATTTTTCATTCACCATAGGAATGCAGTTGGGGAGAACAAAAAACAAATATTCTATTTCTCTCTCTTTCTTAAATTAAGATAAACAAGAAAAATGTCTGGGTACATTGCATACCGATTGAAAACGAATTTTTTGTGCCAACGTGGACAAGCCTTTACAAATGATTACTCACAAGATATGATAAAATATCCAAGCAAAAAAAAATGATAATTTTTCAAATCGACATAGACGCGTATCAGCTGTCGGTTTCTATCGTCGTTATGCACATTTCAATCAAAGGCGTTGTTGGACATAATTTTTGAGAATGAATGAATATCATGAGTTCGACGCATGATTCGAAGCGTGCCCCGATCTATTATCATGCTCATACGTATCATAAACACGAAAAGAAAAAAAGAAAATGTGATAAATCAAAGCTTCTTATGCATAGAGAACTTGAAGTTCAAGGTAAACTATGATAGAGACATGCAGTCAACGTATGCTTTACTAGCGAGTATGGCGCGATGATATGCTTATCTTGAAAATGATAATAGAATGGTACGAATGTCCTTTTAGAAAAAGTCAACGCTATACTAGGAACAACGAACAGTTAACCAGGCGATGATTGGTCTCGTTCATGCAAGAAGAAGTTTTACTGTATAGTTTGAAATAGTTAATAATTATCAATAGCCAAAAAACACAATGAAAAGCAAATGAGTACACCCGTAAGACAAATCTTAGTAATGTATATAAAATATGAAGACAGTCACTGCTGTTTAATAAAAGTATACAGATTTTATCGATATACTTTATTTTTCAATAAATCAAAAACAGTTTATCGATTTACAATTAATCAATATGTATTGGTTTCTTTGTCTTCCGGTAATTAAAGATGCATATTTGAGTTAAAGTAAATTTTGTTTATACATTATTTTAACTTATCTTATATCTAACCATCTAAATGAGATATATATATCTGTCAAATATTGCTTAGCTTTCATATCCATTCATGACTAATTAAGAAAAAAAATATCATCAATGACAGCAAATGTCGGTGGGAAGCCTATTGTCTTACATTTGCATGGACTCAAACACATCAGAGCTGATATCTTAGATAGCAAGAGAAAGTAGGAAAAAATTTAAAAAAAAACGCCCTTTTGTTAACGAGGCCATTGCGTATAAAAATGAAATCACATTTCTAAGTTGCTTTTGCCATGTGAAAATAGGTTAGTTAGTTAGTTCTATTAAATACAGAATGTTTTTTTTCTCCCTACTCTTTTATTTAATTCATATGCTTAAACTATATTCCATCTGTCACTTGCAAGAAGAAAAACAGATTTGCATTATGTTCTTTAATTTTTTCTCTAACTGAATTGTTGGCGCCAAACTTTTGCTAATATTATAGCAAATTTTCCTTTGAAGTGCCGTTTTAATATCTTTCAGTCGATTATGCTATTTTAAAATTCCATTTACTCACTCCGAGCATTTGCTTTGTTGATGTGTTTGATATGGATGACAATGGTGATGCTGCTTGAAATGATGTTATTCGTTTTGTTATACTAAGTGCAATAAAAAATACAAGCGATAATAGAAGACAAATACCGCTAGAAAGCGTTTGACACCATGAGACGCAAACCCGAAGTAAATTTGATAGGAAAGACTAGATTCAACAGATCTATGTACATATTTTATTTTAAAAAAACAGTCTAATGATAACATACATCGTCTTTTGTTATGATGCGATCATTTTCGTTGGATTCTTCATTTGTACGAGTTCTAGTTGATGTTTGGATTTCACTAGAGGATATGTCTGATTTATTCATATTTTGCTCAGAAGTGAATAGTTTTGACCAAGGCATTTATTACAATTAAGATTATACTCTATTTTCTTTTTTTGCTCTCTCTCTCTCTGTAACTCTCAATTGATTATTCATGTAAGATAGAATATGTTTAGTTAAGAAACATTGAGAAATTTGTACCAGTTCACCCCATCGTATGGTCTTTAAGATCATATGAATAAACATATAATAGAGAGAGAGAGAGAGAGAGAGAGAAGAAGAAGAAGAAGAGAACGAGAATTGTTTTTTGCCTTTTACGCTTTTTTTACTCCCGTTCTTTACAACATATCGTCAACACACTGTGGTAGTCCTTTTGTTGAAAAAACAAACATTAAGAGCTTTCAAGTATAGTTTTCTTTTTATCTGATTTTATTGAATGATAAAACTGTCAACGACATAATCTAGGGATTGAAAAACGATCATAAATGTATTTTTTAAGGTTTTTCAGATTTAACCCACTGTTCTGGATTAGGACGATGATCAGCAACTACTGACATCTATATTATTATATATATATGCTTATTATTTTTATATATTTGTTGAATATAATGAAAAACTGTGATTTTTGTGATGCTTTATAATAATTAAAATATTTTTCTTTCAACCGAGGATGTCAAATACATTTCGATTGCTTAATAGATGTTTGTGACTTGTGATTTTGATGAGAAAAAGAAAATAAACAATTGCAGAAGAAAAAAAGAAAACTTGCGTTCTTTTACTTTTCCGCATATTTCGAAAATTATCGTATTTTCTTCATAGATTATTGCGTCAATTACATCTTTTTTTTCTCGACTTTTTGTTCTTACAAAATCGATACATACACATATATAAATATATATTATTTGTTTGTAACAAACTTCAACTCAATCTAAATTTCATTCGTATTCTTTCAAACTGTCCACGAATCAGTTTCAAGCCGTTGGGCCGAATCGAGCTGGTATTATCAGCTTGTCTGATGATGCTGCCGCTATCGTTTCTTCCAACGTTAGTGATTTACCAAAATCTTCAATAACTAACACCAAGTGGATACCACAAAAATTAGTACGTTCACATCAACAAGGCAACGGCAGTGTAATACGTACACAAGAAGAAAAAGATAATGATGTTTTTCGTCGATGTCGTGCTTTACTCAATAAATTAACACCAGAAAAGTTCGATAAGCTCGCTGATGATTTAGCTAATCCATCATTTGGAATCGATTCACCTCATCTATTAAAAGGAGTCATTCTACTTATATTTGACAAAGCACTTGCCGAACCAACTTATTGTGCATTGTGTAAGTTATTTTGTAAATGAAATTTTGCGTGATTATATCTATCACGAGTTTAGCCTATAATATTTACGAATGTGGTTGAATTTTAATTATTAGAAAACGCGAATTATGTTTACTTTTACTTGTATCAAATAAAACTAATTTGCTGCTGAATATCGAAGCTTAGTCAATAATCGATTATATATTTCATTCTTTAAAGAACAGCAACTAATACGTAAATAACGTACTTTGGACTTTTTCTACAGAATAGCCAAGAGCATATATAAATAATACCCTTTGGTTTTTTTCGATGTCGAGGTTCATTTGTAAGAAAAAATTTATTCCTTGTCATACGGGTCAGTTCCTACCACACCTGCGACAATATATATATATTGATAAAAAGCTTATAATTGCATTTCTATTTAAATAGATGCTGAATTGTGTCGTCGATTGGATCGTGACGCACCGAATTTCGAACCAGCGGATGCACCTATTCGCACCTTTCGTCGTTTGCTCTTAGCTAAATGCGAATACGAATTTGAAAATCGTATTCTTCTTGGACAATCAACAACAAACAATAATATCGACGAAGACATGAGTCCACTAGAAGCTCGTACTCAAGCTCGCAAAAAAGCGATTGGAAATATAAAATTAATTGGTGAATTAGGTAAACTTGATCTCGTGTCCGAAGCAATATTACATAAATGTTTAAAAACTTTACTTAAACGTGGCACCAATGAAAATCTATCTGAACGTTGTGAAGATCTAGAATGTTTAAAAAAAATCATACAAACCGTGGGACGAAAACTCGATCAAGGTCAAGGAAAAAATCTTATGGATCAATATTTAGATCGTATCAAAAAAATCCAAACACAAAATGATTTACCGTTACGCGTTAAATTTATTTTACAAGATATTATCGACTTGCGTGCAAATCATTGGGTACCACGTTTAGCGTTCATGGACAAAGAAACAAAACTAACCGATGACGATGGAAATCAACAAACACAAATTACATATAAATATCAGCCATCGCATACAATGATTCCTTCATTGACGAATCCATTTGCTTATCAATTTCAAAATTCATCGACACCAACTAGCCTTTTTCAACGAGCACCATTTCATCCTTCGATTCTACAACGTCCAAGACCTACACAAGTCACTTCGGATAGATATCAATTCGAACGACTGAATCCTTTGTCAACAGGTATAGAAAAATTCTACGCGATTGCTCAAATTATTTTTGCAGTCAGCTCTTTTCTCGAGCAATCACTCAAAGAAAACTTTACTGTTTTAGTCATTTCCGGCTCGGAAATACAAGCTTTTTGATTAGACAAAAAAAAAATAGTGCCTAAGGCATTCTTTCGTTGAACTAAATCAATTGAAAGAAAAGCTGCATTTACCCTGGGAATATGACACAAAGCTCTTGAAATTGGTTTATTTTGGGAAGAAAAAATGACGTAGAAATCTCATTTTCTCGAGCATTACTCGTTCGGCGTACTCAAAAAGAAACGTTTATTTTAGGATGCTGAACTAGAATTTGACATTGTCTTATTTTTCTTTCCTTCGGGGGAATAAATTTATTCATTACAGAAAATTTCTCTGATCAGTATTTATAGATTTTGACAGAATTTTGCATCGTGTTCAATTGAAAATTATAATTTAGTTGTTTCCTGCACCCTTTGTTCCACTAGATACGGTTTTAGATACCATTCAAAAGAAAATATTTGATGAGCATAAGAGTATTAACTTGAAGGGTATTCAACACCTGCGCAGTGTGTTATTTACAAGTAAATGAAAAAGAAAAGTTCACTTCGAAAATGATTCAATCTTCTAGCTTAGTGACCGACCAGTACAAAGCACGATCGAATTTCTATGACTACTATTCATTCCAAATGAGATACTCAAAGTCACCTTGTGTTTTCTTAGGAAATGACAGATGATATTTGCTCTACGTAGTATTATAACGATTCGGTAACATATGTTCAGTTCAGAGTAATCGATAGCTTTGTTGTTTTTTTTCTATAGAGAAAGATCGTTTGTCTTAAGAACAGAACAATCAATTCTATGATTTTTAATCAAGTAATCTATTTTTTGTTTATAGACACATCGCATTTAAGAAGATCTATGCATCCTTTAGTATTATTTTATGTTCTAATTGTAAATCTCTGTCTAGATTATGCAACCTTATTGCCTAGTCTCCGAAATCGCTAATTGTTTGAATCGCGTAATATTGAAAATTAAACCTCATCGATGTCGTATATGATACTACTTGCGAAAAAATCCGAAACCTTCTTACCATCGATCCTTAGATTAAAAACTTTCACGTGTTCAATTCTGCCTTCAGGATAATTATCTTCTGAGGTCGAGCTTGAAAAACATTGAATACATAGAAAATCAACTACTGCTTTTGTAAAAATTATTTCTTTGTACACACTCGTATTGATTCAAATGAATTTCATCTATACCATTCAAGTATCAACAGAAGTAACCGATTTAAATAAGTGTGACAAAACAAAAAGATAAAATTTACGATTCGAAATTTATGTTTATCGTACAGACTGTAAAAGAAAAGGTCTTCAAGGCATTATTTAGTTACCTTGAATTTGCTACAATACGATTGGTCGTTTCAAGACCAACCGGAGAGTTGATTTTCACATTCAAAAATTGCATAGTTATAGACCTGAACGACTGTAGCCTATCGTAAAAGTTTCAAGTCTTTTGTATGTTCATAGCTGAGGATAAGAAAATTGATTCTGTAGACGGATGCAACCGATGTCGAAGAGAAATTTTTACCATAGACAATTTTTCGGATTCGAACATCAAAAAAGACTTGTGACTTTCACAATGAAATATTCTCGTTTAGACCTGTCGGTATGCAAAATTTCAATGTGAAAAATCAATTTTGCTGGTGTTCCTGAGAGGAATCCCGATATTATTATGAAACTGAAGTAACTATCTCTCAGCGTCAACAAGCCCATCTTTTGCAGTATTCATAGCTGATTAAGGTCTCAATGATACTCATATCTTCGACACCCAAGAAATCAATCAGTTGATGATTTTGTCTTTTAGAATTTTTCATCAATATTAAAATAGAAGACTTCTAATATTGTCTTTCTTTTGCAGAAACTGAGCAACCAAATTCTTCGAAACCACGTCAAACATATCGCGGAACCAACTCTCCCAAGTCTCGACTTCATCAACACGATAATTTAACTAATCCTTTCGATAATTCATCTAAAGATAATGATTCAGCCCATAAACTCCCGAACGGAAATGCAAATCGTACGTCAAATTCTCCAACATATTCAAATGGTTTATCGTCAACTACATCGACCAATGGGTCCAACAATCGTCCGAATTCATCATCGTCGTCATCGTTTAGTCTTCGCCCTAAGAAACCATCCAATCTGCGCGCACCAATGACCGATCGTGAAGAAGTCGAATCGCCTATTATACCAAAATCATTCAATGATTCAAATAAAAAGCCAACATCAGAAATTCTCACCAATCATCCGTTAACAAAAAATATGAATAATTTATCGTCATTAATCAAATCAAAAGATTCGCATCATCATCATCATCATCATCATCCAACAACAAATAAAACTTCAACACAAACAGCAGCCACAATGACACGCGATGATTTATTATTAAAATATAGTTCGTTTCTTCAAATGACAGTTGACGATTTTGAACTTATACATAATGAATTACGTGCATTAAAACTGTCGAAAAATCAAACAATAGAATTTATTCAATATCTATTCGACCAATCATTACATGAACATAATAAAAATATTTTATTTATTGCACGATTATTAATTTATTTATACAAAAATACATTTATTACAAATAATCATTGTATAAATGTTCTTATGAATATTCTTGCAAAAATTCATGACTACGAAAAAGAATTAGCCTTATTTAAATCAGAATTAGCAACGATCATTGCAAATATTATTTGGGCTGGTCTAATCAATGATCAAGACGGTATGTTCAATTGAAAGCTGAACAAGCTAAAATACTTTTTTCGGAAAAAATTTCAATTTTAGATTCCTCATGTAAAAACAACGGTACGAATGCTTCAAAAAAGACGATCTTACCATCTTCAGTGTTACTATCATTCAATGATGTGTGTGATCTGCTTAAAGATGGTCAACATCATCCACTCTTTCTTCTTGTACTCCAACAATTACAACAACTTTTTCATAATGATGAAAATTATATGTAAGTAGCAGATAATCGGATAGAGACGTTCTTGCAGCTATTTTAGAGATTTCGCCTACAGAAGAAAACATGTTCGAATTCTCAGCATAGAATTTTTTTTCAATACTCATTGACTTACAGGTAAAGAAATATCCATAAAAGCTAAATTTTTTTCTACCAACAGGAAAAATATTTTAAATGCATAACCACCGATCTCGTGGACATGTTAATTTGACTAGGGGGTAATAAGAATTCTTTATGGAAGACTGCCCCCTCCCCTCTGGTTACGCCCTTAATCTCCAGTAGATTCTTCATGTCAAGAATCGCGAACTTAATTTTCCTCGATTTATTAATAAACAAAAACAAATCTTATTTTACCCAATAGGTGCAATCTACTCGAACGCTCTCGCATAAACATGCGTGAGATGGTACCTGAGAGTGAACGTCAAGATACATTACTCCTACAAGTTCTTGAAGATCGTGGTTTAGCATATTTGTGTTCACATTTAAAATTACGTGTTCAAACGTTAAATAAACTTTCATCGTCGCCACTTGATTCGAATGAATTTTTATCATTCGTCGAACAGCAAACACAGCTTTACGATAGAAATAGTCAATCATTTATTCAAACTTTAGTGACTTGTATTTATGAAGCTGCGATATCGCCAACATTAATATCATCGAAAACTGATAAAACAACGTTAAATCAAGAAAAAATCTTTATTGAAGCTCATCGTCAATGTTTACAAACCTATGTCAAAACAATTGAACAACAAGTTTGGGCTTTATATGCGCTGCAATTAATTGGACATAGAAATAATTTCCCCAAGGAGTTACTATTACGTATGTTTGTGTACTCGTATGATTTAGATATAATCGAGGAAGACGCCTACTATAAGTGGAAAGAAGATATTAATGATGATATACCTGGCAAAGGTAAAGCACTATTTCAAGTTAGTAAATGGTTGCAATGGCTTGAACATGCAAGCGAAGAATCAGATGGTGACGATAATAATGATAATCTGAAATCTCAAGAGACAATATTGAATGATAAAGAAGTAAGAAGTAATTTTGTTGTTTGAATTCTCCTAAGCTTTTTGTTGTGTTTTAGAATGGTCACGATGAAAAAACCGCGGAACAAGAACAAAATGCATGAGAAATTTTCGTTCTTTTTTTTTGTGTGCTTTTAACACAACATATATCAACGCTCAAATATGTCTTTTCTCTTCTTTTTTTTGTTTCGTTTCATTATTAAATCCATCCGTACGCCTACTGTATTGTACAAACTATAATAAAAAAACATACACTGATCGTCTATATATATACATATATATGTATTTACAGTCATAATAAAAACTTTTTTTTCTTTTTTGTTTGCTTGTTTGACAATAAATGGGAGACATCTACCTTTACATTCTGCATGTCGATGGAATAAAATCCAAGGATATTTGCCCTGTTTTCTTTTCTCGATACTCTTCTGTTTCCGATTATAAGTCAATAAACTATTTAACATATTATGTTATGTCGTCTAATGTTCGATTACTAACGCTGCATGAGCATCAACATTTTCAAAACGCTGTAATCGATCTTCTCAATGACGAATGGCCACAGTCAAAAACTATTCGTATGCGTCGCTTAGAACGCTCATGTAACGAATTGCCTCTATCATATATTCTTGTTAACAATGATGATCAGCTTATTGGTTATTGTTACATCGATCGACTTCTCGATGATGAACAAAGTGTTATTATAGAATCTGTTTGTGTACAACGAATGTCAAGAGGAACTGGTTAGCTCATAAAAGCAAGGCATTTTCTATTACAAAAGTTTGTCTATATTTATTCGATAGGCTATGGAAAAATATTAATGAAACTTGTAGAAGATGAACTTCATCAAAAAGAACCTAAGATAAAATGTATTTATTTAACGACAACTGATAAACGTCATTTTTATGAAAAATGTGGTTATGAAGAAACGACACCACGTGTCCGATTAAATATTTCCAGTAAACTATTCAATGGTAATGATGAAGTATTTAAAAATTTACTAGCCAGTCAAAAACAAACAGCCCCTGATAGTCATGTTATTCTACAGAAAGGCTCAAGCGTTCAGCGAATTGCAACTGTTTGGATGAAAAAAAGAATTTAAAATAAATAATTTAATTTCATACTTTTATTAATGGATATCTGCATGTGAAAAGTCTAAAGAAACAACAGCAGCAGGGTAAACGAAATCCAATTGTATTCTTAGAGTCGGAGAAGAGCACATGATAGGGTTCGATGATAATGTTAATTGTGTTTTCAAGGAAAAAAATTATCACTGACCAGTTATCAAAAATCATTTAACGTGAAAATAAAAAATCTCTAAAAATTCTTGCACGACGATCACAATTATCTTCTAGTCCCGTTATTAAAGAAAGAGTTCTTCAGTAATCATCTCTCCTGTCGATCAGGCTCATATGTAAAATAAAAAGTGCATAATCGTCACCATCTAAAAGGTAGATATCATTATGCTCTGAGTGCAATTTTATGTTCGACTTTCAACAGAATCCTTATCATTGCCTTCTACTTTGCTATATTTTGTTTTTGTGTTGATGACCTAATTTTCAAACAACGTAAATCAACCAGATGGTTTTTTTTTCTTTTATTCGATTATTTTAATTACCATTAGCTAATTTTTTACCGTCACTAACACGTTTCGCATTGAAAATACATGTTTTCATTCGAGTTATGTCTCGCTTTGATTGCGACAATTGTTTACCATCGTTAAAATCAGCGAGGCGTATGATTTTCGACCAATCACATGATTCTTTAGCACTTGTTTCTAGTGCTTCTTTATGTAGACGATTTTCTTCAATTTTCGTAGTTTGTCGCTTTTGTTCCATTTGTTTGTAACGTTCGCTATACCAAAGATCTAACTGTTGTCGAGCTTGTTGGCGTAATTCTTCAATTTTTTGAATTTCTTCCGCATCTTTAGCCGCAATTTCTTGTTCATGTTTTCTATTAAAAATTTGCACAGGAGATAAATCTTCATTGGAGAACATATTGTATGAAGGTTGCTCTGCTAAAAGCAAGAATTAAAAAATAGACAGTTGTTTTCATACTATAAAAACCTGGCTTTTGACTTGTTGTTTCATTAGTAAAAATTTCTTCAACCTGGGGTGATATTGGATTCAATGATGGTTGATTTACTAATGATGAAGATGCATCTAGTACATCATCGGATGGGAAAGATGCCGTATTATTAAAATTCTAAATTAAAACAATAAAGAAATAATGTGAAAATACGTTTTTTCCCATACATTTTCAATCGAGCGTGAAGGATCTTCATTTTGATTATTTTGTATGTCATCAGTATTTGTTAATTGGAATAAATCATTTTCTTGTGCAGTAGAAGGTTTCGATGTAAACATGTCAAAGTCGTCCATTTATCGTTAAGATGCGTGCTTGTATGTTTCTTATCGCGAACGAATATATTCTAATTTGTAACGTAGATGCTTTTTCGTCGCTCCTTTTTATATCCTTGCACTCGAATCATTACGCTCAGTAATAGTTTTTACACACAATCGAAAAGACAAGATATGAGTAAAACTATCTTTGTTTTCTTTATGAGAAATGAAGATGACGTCATAGATTTGGTTTTGAATATATGAAGCGTTTGCGTACGATTGAGGTTTCCAAAAATGCTTCTTGTGTGAAGTAGGAGTTTTGTTGAAACAAATTAAGAATCCGACGAATAATTTGTTTAATATAAGAATATTTGATAGAAAAACAATATTTGCCTAATGTTATTCGCTTTCGCCTGAGTGACTGTGTAAACTTTTTTTTTTCATGAAGCGACATCGTCAATAGGTGAATTCAGTTGTCACATGGTCCAACATTAAAGCGAGATATGCGACAAAAATAATTTTTTTTTCGCTCGCATTATTTTTAACAAATATTGACCCTTTTAGATTGTATATAAAAAACAAAAATTCTTTATTTTATTTCTCAATGGCTATTTACAATTCATTTGCAAATTATAATCAAGTAAATAGAAATAATTCTGAAATTAATCTCTCTGATTTTATTTAGAATGAGCCCAATCAAACGCTTATTAGTTCTTCAATGCTGAATGATATAGACAAGAGCGCAATTAATGCTTGTATAGCTGCTCTGAAACCTTCTCAACAAACAAATAAATTCTCGAACAAAAATCAACCAACGGTATCGAATCCTTCGGATGATCAGGATTATATATTCCTGGAACAGGATTCACATGAGAAAATTGAGCAGATTTTACATTACTATCGGCAGGAGCTAAAACAAGAATCGCAATCTCAGGTAGATTGTACTCGGAAATTAATCATACGTCTGGTTGATTTTATTCGACCATGTTATTCTTTAAATGAGCGAAAGTTGAGAGGTTTAAATGAATTGTTTGATGAAATATCGAGTTTACATGCTAAGAAATCTATGGAACAAAAAGATAAAAACCAAGAACTACAAAATGAAATTTCACGCTTAGAAAAATTCATAATCACATCGACAAATCCGTATAACGCCAAGGCAAATGTTTATGCAACGGGTGAGATCATTGATGAAAGAATAATTATTTAATTGAAGACAAAGTTTAGATTTGACATTTGATTACGACGAATGGATGAAGCTAGAAGAAGAAACAAGAAAACTTCGAGATTTAGTTGAACGTCAGACTGATAAAATCGACGAACTTATCAGACTTTTATCATATTCAGGTGAATATCGAGGTTTTTAGAGAACTAATTATATCTTCAATCTGTTTGCGTGAATGAATAGCTGTGTTGACCTTGATTTTTTTAATTTCTCCAATTTACCTTCGTAGTACATAAGAACGAAGTAATCACCCTCAATTTGTGTTCCTAGCTCCCGCTTCTATACGACACATAACATATGTGGAAAAAAATTAAGTTATACTATCGTGAAAAAGTAGAGTAGGATATCGATGCCAGCATTTGACACAACGGGGAGAAATCTCTCTGGAAGAATCTCTAACATACCTACTAAAACGTCCAAAACAACTTCAGGATTCTCTACAACCATCAGTAGGACAACTGACAAAAAAATCTATAGTGCGCATTTAACTCACCGCTATCGACTAAAGGAACACACTGCGGTAGGTCTTCCAACAAACACTATTGCCATTAGGTTCACTGTACATCGTTACACTTCTACAATTTAAAATAAAACTCGATAGTCATACCGCTGTGAAGTATCAAGTCCATCTTGTATATGAAACATCTAAATCTATTCCTTGTTCTTCTAGGCACACTTACACACCAGACTTCCCAGTTAAGAAGCATCATTGGTGCTACTTTCGAAACTGAACGTGGCCAACAACCGCCCAGTAGCTCTAGCGCTACTGTTGGAAAACCATTTCCATCGAGAGCACCGATCTATCCGCAATTAGATTCAGGTACGAATTTATTACAAACCACAAACAACAGATTTAATTTACGCGGTAGATTCATCTTTTAATTGATTGACCGATATCCTAGCATAATCCCTTATAGATCCAGTAAATAATGAAGCGCAAAATGGAGGGCGACCTACAGTTACTACTAATTATTTGTCACCACTCTCGCGCAAAATCTCATGTACTAACGACAGAAAATGTCCTATATGCAATTATCAATTTCATAAAACAGCTAATGAATTCGAAATCATTACTCATGTCGACAGATGTTTTATTGACGCGGGTATGGACGATCTTGCTCCTTGCTCTGAACCAGAACAATATGAATGTCCAAAATGTAATCAACAATTTCCATCCGATCGTGAAAAAGAATATCGCGAACATTTATCAGATTGCTATGCATAGTGCGCGCGGCGGTATTTTTCAAAAACTAACGAAATAAATTTTCCTTCGAACTTTCGACGTGCTCACACTATGGCTTATATGTATCTGCATAAATGAATAAATAGCTTAGCAATCTTACGGAGAATGGTTTTTCCTTATATTGACTTTTCTACTTTTCATTTTTGCGAAAACAAAAACATTTTCTTTTACTCTTCAATCAATAGTGAGTCTAACATGACCAAAACTGTTGTATTTTCTTTCTCTGACTTTCATTTTTTTTTCAATCCGAAAAATAGCTTCTCTTCCATTCCCAATGCGCCAGCTATGTTACGACTCAACACTTTGTTTTTCGTGATAAATAAATCTAGAAATAGTAAATTAGATTTTTTTATACTATAACTATTTTATCTGATAGGCACGAACAGCAATCAATCTGTGTGTTCAGTCAAACCGAATGGCTTTCTTCAATCGATCCGTATCTGTCCAATCTGCCAAGCTCTCTTTAGTAAACTATTAGTGAGCGAACAACAGTTTCAAGAACATATCGACGCTCATAGGCATTGCTGATGAAAGATAATGTATTATCTGTGATTGCATATTTTTATTTTTGTTTAAAACTGTCCATTTTATTTTCATATGATCAAATTATTTAGGCGCGAAATTGACAATGAATGTGTCAAATATAGAATGTTCGTCTGTATCTTATGAACATGATTCTCTTGTGTTAATTATGGGATTTTATGGGTTATTGATCGTTGAATCAATTTATTTATGTGCTAAACAAATATGGGACTTGAAAAAATGTTGAGGCCTAATTCGTTGCATCACATTATTAAAACAGAATTTGTGTATATTTATTGAATAGCTAATAAATACAAAAAATTTTCACCATTTCATTCATGTGATTGTGAAAACGGACAGTCTCCGGTTCGATAATTTATCACTGCAACCTATTTTATTCACTTACCTTCATGTCAAACGATTATGAATTGTACAATACCGATGTCTTATACAAAACGCTGCTTGTGTTTTCGAATTTAACTATTGCGTCACTATTCTAAACATAGAACAATGTTTTTTTCCCCACTAAATATTCATAATTTCGCTGTTCTTATCTTACTGCAAAGAAGACTTGAGCTTCATTTTGAAATGATAACCATAAATATCAACACCTGACGAAAATATTTTCTTTGTCTGCATTCTCCCGAGCAAGTTTCCATATAGACAAAAAACTTTTATTTCCTTGACTATGTATAATTCATCTGCTAATTACAATCAAGTAAGATGAACCCAATGCAACTATTTTTTATTCCATTTGTGTCATTTAGTGTGACAGCGACATAACTCTCATAAGTTCGCCAAGTTTCTGTGATCTTGATGAGACATCAATCATTGCTTCTATGCCTGTTCGCGTAGTTTCACAACAAGTAAAAACATCATCCGAAATTACACAATCGATAGCATCAGATGTTTCCTTCGATGGAACTAAGCAGATGAAATCGATGGATAATCATGACTATACATTTCTTGAACATGAGATGATTGAACAGATTTTATATTATTATCAGCAAGAGCTTAGACAAGAATCGAACACGCAATTAGATTGTACTCGGAAATTAGTGATACGTCTTGTTGATTTTATTCGGCCGTGTTATGCTTCAAATCAACGAAAAATGAAAGATTTAGATGAACTATTTAGTACCATATCGAATATGCACGACAAGAAATGTTTCCAACAAAAAGAAAAAACTCTCAAGTTAGAAAATGAAATTTCACGCTTAGAAAATTTCATAATCACCTCTGCAAATCCATATAGTGCCATAGCAAGTTTGCATGAAACGAGTAAGATCATTGATGAAAGAATAATTGTTGAATTGAAGACAAAATTTTAATTTAACAGTTGACAATGAAGAATGGACGAAGCTAGAAGAAGAAACAAGAAAGCTCCAGACTTTAGTTGAATACCAACGAAATCAAATCAATGAACTTATCAAACTTATGCCGAAACAAGGTTAACATTTCACAATAAAACGAAGGCTAAACATCAGTGTCGAAATTTGAAATCAAGCAACTTTTCGTTTTGTACCATTGCTGGATAGAGTTCAATACAAAAATGTGCTTGAAACGTAAAATGAGAATGTATCCTAGGACGCCTGTACTTCGATTTGTTGAAAAATCTCAAGATTCTGCAAGAATACCTTTGACATAGTCCGGGAGTCCAAGCGTCTCGTTACCCTCTATCCAGCATATATCAAAATCTCTTAAGTTCTCCTCTATACGCCATTCATATTTTTGATTCTATCCGAATGTGGCTAGCTTATGTTTCTAACAGAACTAAATTCTAAACAGTCACTGCACTGTAGTAAACATTATTTTTTGATATTGTCGAAAGTTTGAAATCTTCTGAAATTTATTTTAGAATTATTCGAAAATAAAACGCAACCAACGAGCACCTGTTTAATAATCTCTCCGTTGCCTCGAAAAACACCGCATAATGTTAGAAAAAAATGTTGTCTCTGCAATTATGAATATCCATTAGTACACACTGAAGTTGAAATTCAAAATCATCTCGAAACTTGTTTGTATAAAATCACTTCTGATACTCAAGATGACTCCGTCGCATCCGTAAACATCGATTGTCCATTTTGCGATAAAAAACTGCTCAACAACGGTGATTCCGCTGACCTTCATCATATGACAATGTGTTGTAGTCAATCAAATGTCGTATTTTAGATTCGAACAACAATAAAGTTTCGTCGTTTCTTTTTTCTATTTATAAAACGAATGCGTATAATTGTTCTTATTGATAAATACGAATATATGATTTCTTTTTTACTGTATGAATCTTTTCGATTTTGATCGCATCGAATTTTTAATATAAAATTCTTCTCGTGGGCTTCAATTTTTATTAGTATGTTTCTTCAAGCAAACAAATAACTGTGCTGCAATGGGTTTTTTTTTCCTATCTATTCATTTGTATAAAATGAGTCCATTTATTATTGTAGGGTAAATGCAAGAAGATTTTAATCACACAAATTGTCATCAACTGATTTTTACAAAATATTATCAATGTTGTGTTTATAGCTATTCAATTTTTTTGTTAGAAGCACAATAACAACGTTCAAAGCATTTTCTAATTTTTTTTTTTGGTCATTATACGGCCAGATGAAGAAAAAATCATGTATGTAATCTTATATTCATGAACACATCTAGATCATATATTATTGTTCGTAGGATGAAAATTACCCGGAAATATTTTCCCCTCGGAATGACTTTTGTTTACAGTTAAAAAAAATTTTTTTTAACTAATAAACAAAATGCTTGAATAAAATAAAGTAATTATAAACTTTTTTCTATATTTATTTTAAAAATTAACACCGTCTTTCATCAGCTGTTTTTAGCTCAGAAATTTTCTTTCGGCCGGCTGGATTTTTCTTTTAAAGAAAAGCAACTGCAAAGTGACATGAATAAAAGCATACTTGTCTTTGCATCTATGTAATTTGATTATTTTCTATATAGCTGAAATTGAAAAATTCATTTATGAATACTCTAAGATGAAGCATTCAATAAAAATGTGCAATGAGATTTACGTGAACAAATAAAAGCATAGAGAAAAGGCTCGTTTTTCTTGTGTATTTTTCTTTTTTTTTTTTTTTGAAATTCAATAATGGCATTTATTTTGTATTGCCTCACATTCATCGATCCATTAGATTCAAATCACTCAACGATACCGAAGCAACGAAGACAATGGTACATGCTAAAAAAATTCATCAAGGTAAAAACATTTGACAAGTGTAACCATTTGTTTTTTTTTACATATTGTATGACGATCTTGTAAGAAAAAGACAATTGACACCAAACAATCAAATTTTGATTTGTTTTACATATACATATAAACACTAATATATTACAACATAAAATAACAATCGAATCAAGTGTCTTCTTCTTCTTGTTCTTCTTCTTCTTCAAATACGCATACATGAACTATGGCACTACGATTCGGTATGTATTTATGTAGAGTAAAAAATGGAAATTTCAATGCAACGAGTCATATCCTATCTATTGGTTTTCCATGTTGAGCATTTATCTCAGGCAAAATCTCGTTGTTTATTGATTGCATTAAATTATGCTTGTATGAAGATGTCTATAATTATGTGAACATGTAAATAACAAATTTACAAGGAATAATAGTCAATGAATGACAGTCATGTTTTGAGAGAACACCTGTATGTCTCTGCGAATGAGAGTCGTTTTGATTATTTCAATAAAACAAAAAAAGAATAAAGAATAGAAGGATAGGCATAAGGCGAACAGAAGAATAAATTTATGAATAGAGCAACACGGTTTGTTGTTGTTCTTTGCTGGTTGTCGTTGCGTACTGCTATTATTTAATAATGAAAAGAGGGCAAACGACAGTGGAATTGATACAATATTTTTCAATGAGTACTGTTTTAAAATTTTTCGTTTGGTTTTATTGTTTGTTTTTGTTCTTCTTGTGCGTTTCTTCTCCTTCTGTTTTCTTTTTCACTTTTAGCGCTAGTATACATTCCTCTTGAAAACCTGTTACATGCTCATCATTTCTTATTAGTGGCTAATTGAATTTGATTTCTATTAACTGATACTAAAAACTAGTTATGCGGAAATGCTGTAAGTATTAATCAAAACCTTGCAAATTATCTGCTTACACAAATTTTCACTTCTTATTGTGACACAGCTGATTAATTGTGTCTTTCTAAAAACAACAAAAAAATTCGAAGGCTTCTTATTTGAAAAACAGGGATAGATGGGATATATTGTTTTGTTGCTGCCTACCGTCTGCTGACATCATTAGTAAAAAAATGCGTTTGTCTATTTTTCGTTCTTTTCTTTCTATCTTGTCTAGTAAATTAACTCAACCCCATCTTTCCATTAACAATATGTTTCCACCGATCAATGCTCATTCGAGGCCTCCGTCAGAAGATTTGCATGGTGTTAGCAGCGGTGGAGTAGCAGACATTCATTCGGCTTCAAAACATCAACAAATTCGACGACAGCAGCTGACAGTGGATCAGCAACGGCGCAGTCCATTGCGAAGTAAATCATCGCTGTCAACAACAGCATCAACGAAAACTAGATATGTAAAGGCACCGACTGCTGTTGCTGTTCCAATGCCTTCACCTCTTGCTCGGCCATTAAAAATTCTACGAGCCGGAACCCCATCAACAGTTGAACCAATTAAAAGTGAGCTAGATATTTAAAAACGTAAAAAAAGCCTCTACAACAACAATATCAACAACAGCAACAGCAGTTCTTCCTTAACAAATCTATTGACGGTTTTTCTTCTTTTTCTATTTAAAACTACTAACCACAGCATGTTATCGGCTAATACTATACAACAAAACAATGATATATTTTAGAAAAGAAAAAAATCTTATCAACAAAAAGAACTCATTTTTGATTTTTTTTTTCATTCTAGTCATTTATCGATCGAGTGATTATTCTTGGAATGATCATTTGAATAATGGAAATGTTTCTAATCAAGCATTACGCACTGCTAGTCCAATGAAATCGAAATTCTCCGCATCGGCTCGTCAATTAGCTAATGGAATTTTACATGAAACCACAAGCAATTCAATTGCTCATCCTTCAGCATCATCATCATCACCCAATGGCCATTACCAACAGCAACAACAACAAGTAAAAGAGGATACAAACAATGGCGATTTACATTTATCATCAGCAGCCAAATCTCTTCGTACATCAAGACTTCAACGTACGAATAGCCATTTAGATAAAACTCCAGGATTGAATGCATTTGGTTTACCTGCCCGAAGTGAAAGTTATCGTTCATCGCGTCTTGATTATGGTGTACGCTCACGTAATACATCATCAAAACAACGAACTTATGTTAATTCGAAAACGTCATTTCATGAAATCAATGCAGGAGATCTTCCTATCAATGGTACACAAGATGAAAATGCATTTTATCATCAACAACCATTGAATATCTTGAGTAGTACACAACGTCTAAATGGCTCAACATTTGATTTAACAGCTAGTCGTAAAGTACTTTCGCCAAATAAATCAAATACATTTAATTATCCAGCTAATGGAACAGGTGGTCATCATCCTTATTATAACTCAACACAAGAACTTCATCGAAGTGAAACAACCAATGAAAAAAATAATGCTACACGATTTCCTGCGCGTAATACGCTATCAAAAGAACCACTTATAACATCACAAAAGTTTCGACAGACATCAAGTATACAAACAACGACAACACCAGCCGGAGGAGCCATAACAGCAACAACAACGAGCATTCCAGCTGTAATACAAACAGGTGAAAGACATCCATCGGCTCAAACATTTAAATCTCGCGATCCCAATATATCATATGCCTATACAGATGTTAAAAAGTATATTGACGAAAATGATTTAATGTCATCAGAAAAAGAACAAATTATACGCAACTGGATTGTCGATGTTGAGAAACATCGACATCAACAACAGAAAATTGATTGAACATGGTTTATTTATTTATTTATTGATCTTTTTCTTTTCTTTTTTTATAAATCCAGTTTTGTTGTAGCCCATGGAGTCTTTCTTGTGACGTTATTATTTTTTAATTACATGCGTATATATAAATACAATAAAAGAAATCATTTGTATAAATTTTGTTGTTCGATTGACTTCAAGATTGGATTTAATTCTTACGGGTCGATCGATCGATCGTTCGAACGAGCGAACATGGAAAGAGCTAAGACACGTCAAATAGTCGTGTCTATGCTCATTGCCGACTCGTTGAATTGCAATTAATTTAGCATAGCTATCATTCTCGTTCGTGAGTTTGTATATTTTATGTACATAGATACAAATGTGGACACTGGCATCTTCTCTTTTTTCTCTGTTTCGTGTTGCTTTTCGATCCTCATGTCAATATTAACTGTCTTATGCGTCGCGCCTCACATCGTTTGCTGTCGCGCAATCGCAAGAATCATTCGACAACAGTAAGAATGATGATTAGACTCAGTATATTTCTTGTGTTTACGGTTCTTCGTATTCAAGCTGCTGCTGTCGTCGATCCTGTTGTAACTAATGTTGATCCTAAACATGAATTGCTTACAGAAATAACTGGCAGGTATGTAGCATGATTATGTTTTCCTGCGCTATTTATATCGTAATGAGATATTCAATGAAAAACAAAAAGTCGAACGTTACGAAATAGTCAATCTGATTACATATGCATTCGAAAAGGTTCAATAGAATTTTCTATTCGTGTAGGAGGTTGAAAATTTTCGAATGAGAAACTCTCCGGTGACGTATAATTTGAATTCTATAAATTCCTTGAGGTCACACCATTGCGTAATTAATCTATTTGTTCTGAGTAGCGTTATTATTTTGTATTTTGTAACAAGAAATCGATTGTTCGTCTCTTGTTCATTATGCGATAGTGGCTAGTTCAATCTAACTGCCTGCCTTCTGCTTAAAATATTTAGCGACATGTAAGTTCATCTTCGTTGTTTAGATATCGGGTAGCAGCGCGACATTTGCGTGAAACTCAATCGACATTACCGTTTGAATTACAATTTCCCGTTCATGACATTCTCAAAGTCGATGGTGCAACCAATGAGCTCGTCATTCGAGCAACGATTCGTCTAGATTATCAATTCGAATTTCTTCATTGGGATTCGAATGATACGCGTAGTCGCTATCGCGATATCGAAGAAATTATTCTATCTAAAACAACACTACAGTCACTTTGGCTACCAGATGTACGATTTACCGACGAAGATTCAATTTCGTTTACGATTGAACGTGAATCGGCGAAAATCAATCGTGATGGTTTTGTCACATGGACACGCCGAGGCTTGTTCACCATTGCCTCTTCTATCGATTTAACTTACTATCCATTTGATCGTCAATATTTTCATTTCAACATGCAAAACAGCCAAAAATCTGTTAAATTAAATTATCAAAAAAATATTCATAGCTCATCGACAACATCGAATATTCATTTGGCACGTTCGGCAAGCGTATGGACAGCATTGTTCGGTAGTACAGAAGCGAATACAAATCTGACAACAATACCATTGAGCGTTCAATTGAATGATCAGCCGATAAAACCGAGTTCGTCTCGTGGCTGGTTTGTACGAACGATTAATATTGAACCGAAAATAAATTCAAACGAAAATGGAAGTTTTGAAAATTTAACAATTCATTTTTCCATTCAACGCCGTCGAGAATCTCACATTTACACGATGATTTTGCCGACATTGTTTTTTTCATTTTTCATTTTCATCTTCTATTTTGCTCCTGTCGAAGCTCATCAACGATTAATCATTGGCCTATTAAATACATTTGCAACGTTGATGTTTCTTATCTATGTCGATAGAAGCCTTTCCGCCGAACAACTATCGCATAGTCCATTAATAATACAATATTTAACAATATTATTTATGATTGAAGCATTATCATTGTTTTTCGATCATATTATTCATTCAATATTTTACGGTGGAATCAATTTTATATCGAATTGGTTGCGTAGCCGACATAAATATGACACTCAACAGCAGCAGCCGGCACGCTTATCACGTGTTACCATGTTAACACGGGCATTGAATAATCGTTTGAATTCGAATTCTCTAGAAAGTGATGGGCAAATAAGCGGACCAACGGATATATTAATGAAACAATTAATTGATCGCGAAGAATCATTGAAATTCGAAGACAATGAACGTTACCAATGGCGTAAACGAGCCCGACTCAGTGAATGCTTATGTTGTTGGTTTTTCTTTGCTATTGTTATTGCTGCTGCTATATGCGTTTTTCTCATCATACCCACGATGGGGTTAAAAAAATAATGTGTCGAAAGAAAAAATTGAACATTTTAAAAAATAACAAGGTCATTTTTATTTGTATGCTAATTGGAATAAATCTATTGAAAATGGGAGTTTTACCATTATGTATAAAAAAATTTTTTTTCTTCAGTATATAAAAAAAAAAGGTTTTCTCATTTGCAATTTAAGAATATTCAACTGAACTGAACAGTACCGATTAGGGACGTGCTTAGTGTAAATGTTAAACTATTATGGCTCCGATTGATAGGAACTCGGTTTTTCAATAAAATAAAAATTTCTAATTTCGACTTGAAACTTTGGACAAATGAAGACTTCTCTTAGTTTCATAACTTCTGAAAGTTTCTCAACATTTACAGGGGAAAATGTGAATATTTTCAAGCCTTCGCATCTGAGTAATACAATGTTCAAAAGTCACGAAAATTTGTATACAGCCTAATCTAATAGAGACCTTTGTTTTTGCAAAATTCTAGATCCAAATTTGAAATTCTGAATTTGCTGGAAAAAAGCCCTAGACGAACTTTTTTTTCGTGTTCTTCACCTGTGCAGATCTCAAGAATCATGATGAATAACATTACAGACACCGTTTATTTACAGCGCAAATTTTTCTGACCACTATTTTTTTTATTCACACATTCTAACAATGCTATCGTTTCTGTGAAATTAAGTTGTATGTCGAACATGTTGTTTTATATCCTTAACACTATATTAACACAGGCATAATGATCAAAGATGCATTTCAATAGGAAAATTATTTTTAACACACATTTTGATTTACACTTCAATGAGCACTCGAATTTAATTATTTCAACTGCGTATGACTCACGCGTTCTAAAACAATTCGCAGGGCAATCAATTTGTCTCTTGCAATAGGCTCTCTATTTAATTATCAGCTTAGCATCGTAACCACACTGTTCAACATGAGGGTGTGAAGAGTTTCTCTTCATTTAAATAAATCTACGCACCTTCGTTGGGATTACAATGAACTAAAAGGTTAAGGTATCATTAGTAATCTATCTAATTATTTCAAGTCTCTCAAGTAGATAATGTAGGATCATCGTTAACAGGCGGTAAGCAAAATTCTAGTGTACACCTTTGGTCTTTTCTCATATTTTTTTGACAAAATATTTAAACTACTGAGCCGAGTTCCTTGCGGGAAAAGCGTACTTCTACTCCGGTTGAAAAAGTTTTAAAATAAAAATGCTCGATATTTTAAATTAAAAAAAAACAGAGGGCAGTAGAGAGCAGAAATTTGACAAGTGTAAAAAACAAAATTTCTTTTTATTGGTACATGTGTAATGAATGAATAGGTACAGCTATACATATAAAAAACGACGGAAATGAATTTAAATTATATTTTTTCTTAAATTTTGGTTCGTTGACAACTGTTTATTGAATTCGAAAGAGTATTATATAGTTCTCTTTTTCTTTTTTTATTCAAATAAAAACATTCAATGTCAAGTAAATAGGCATCTCACATTGAAAGGAAAGAAAGAGCACTCAATCAAAATGAAATTTTTCTATGCATAACAAGGTTTCTTTGTTTTTCTGTATATCGTGATTACAACGATCGCTGTCTTCAATTTGCAATTTCAGACAGTGAACTTATTTACTATGAAGGTAAATACTTTTTAATATTCGCAAAAACTTCTCTGAAAGAATACAAGAGCAGTTTTATTTTTATCACTGATTAATCGTATTAGATAAGATTATTCTGCGCTGTTTAGCATGAAACATATTACAATAATCCTAGACTAGAACGACGTCACCCGAGTGGCACCGAGAAAAGTATTAAAATTGTCGTCTAGGAACTAGATAGTTTTTATTTTTCGTCGCCATCGTCGTCTACGGTATAAACTATGTTCATCTTCAAAAGAAAATACCGACTCTCATTTAGACTTGTTATTCTCGCCAATGCTACTTAACTTAACCTAATCTTGATGACTATAAAGACAAGATGTTTAAGCAAAAAACAAACAACATTTATTTTGATCTGTCTAAGACAGAATAAATATTATTTGACAGATGGATATTATGTTTGCTTATTGTCTAAATGATCTCTCAAAACAATGTTCATTTCGACATATATGTTTAATAATAATAAAATCTATGGATTATTATTTTCTGAAGGATAAAAAACAAAAATATTTTTCATTTAATTTCATTTCTATTGTAAACAAAGAAATCTATAGCGATACATATTTTTAGAAAAATAATGAATGAAGTTGTAGTTGTTGCTTTTCTCTTCTGATGAAGATGAATGTAGAGAATAATTCAACGAAATTCACCTTCACACTATGAGCATCTAATAGGAATATAAGAATATTTTCTGCTATTGTACGACATCCCTCTCTTTCCTATTCTAGTGTCAACAGTAAGTTGATTAACATTGTTTTGAATGAAGAAGAAGAAGAAAAAAAATTGGAGAGAAACATGTATGTCAACTTGCTCAATAGATAGAGACGAAATACGATGTTGTGGTTTTGTTCTGTGTCGGCCCACAACTAGATAGGAGAAGAGAGAGAGAGAGAGGGGAAAGGAACATACCGGTCAAATTTGTACGAGAACAGAGAGCGAGAGAAAGGCTAATCTGCGTCAAAAGAGACAATGCAAATAAGAGCATAGTGGTTTATGTTCGGTGGTGAGTAAGAGAAAAGAACAACTAATTTTTTCGTCTATGTGCTTTTGTCTCATTTAGAATTATTTTAATGACATTGACTCTCTGACGTTAGATTTTTTGCTTTTTTAGAATATGCCTTCGACAACAAATGAAAATCTATCGAATCCTAAAAGTATAGCTCCGGCTTCATTTAATTTAGTTGGCGAAACAACAACATCATTATCATCGTTACCGTCAACTCTATCCATTTCACCTCGTGATCGTTGCCGTCGATGTCAGCAACTCGTCTATGTTACTGAACGTATTGGCCCAGTTAAAGATTCTCTCTATCATAAATTATGTTTTAAATGTTTAAAATGTGATCGGCAATTAGATTTTAAAACCTATTTTACAAATTCAATTGACCTCAATGACAAAGAAATCTATTGTCAAAGTCATGTACCACGGTCGGGTAAGGGTATTTTTTCAACAGAAAATATTCATATACAAAATGTGATGAACGCACCGAAGCTAAATGTCATGCAGAAATTGGATGATCGACTTAAAGTAAAAAAAAAATTTTTTTTTTCGGGTTCAAAAATATTTTATTTTTCATTAGGGTACTCATCTCGATTCTCAATCAGTTTCAATAGCACACGCTATGAAAGCACAGCAAATGTTTGAGCAGGGCCGAGAAAAAATTTCATCGACTCACAATTTTCCAGCATTACCACCGGTATTTTTAGTAGAATTATCTAACAGTTATGTTTATTTTTCTATTATTCAGGATATTCTACATGCTCGTGAAGAAGTCCGTCGTGCACAAAAATCTTTAGAAGAAAAACAACGCGAAGAAGAAGATAAATTATTTGTGAAATTTCGTGTTGATCGTGAGTTGGAAGAGAAAAAAATTGAACGCGAAGTGATCGACGAATGGGAAAAGAAATTACAAGTACTTACAACTAAATATGAAGATGATTTACGACGAAAAAAAGATAAAAAAATGGAACGAGTTAGTAGAAAACAAATTCGTTTGTTCAAAACTATTCGATTGTTTTACTCGTAGGAATTAACACTTCGTTTTACAAAAGAAAAAGCTGAACTAGAACAAAATATGACTTTAAAACGAGATAAAAAGCGTGAAATTGTTCGAAAACAATTGATGGAAAAAGAACAAGAAACAACACATTCACTCGTTTCGAAATTTAGTAAAGAAATGATTAATTTAATACAAGCCAAAGAACGCGAAGTATTGGTACGTATAGTCAAATTTTCATAAGATGACGTTTCCTCGTTCGATCAAGTCAAGAGGGAAACGCGAGAGTTCCGTACTCGACTGTACTTCAAGAACATTTTGAAATGCGGCACTCTCGTCACCTGGGTTTTTGCACATCTCTAATCGAAATTCTTCGTATTGCACCATCAAACTTTATTTTCTAGTGAGAATAGTTAATTCGTTTTTTTGCTGTCTTGAAAAACTCTGTTCTTTCGGATGCGAAAATATAGCCGCACTACAATTTTAGACTTTCCTAGCGAATTGTGCTGATTACCCTGATGCTTAAAAAAAATTTCCATAAACTTCAGGTCGAAAATGGTGTTGACGATCAATTAGCAGCGTCCTATTCCATGATTCAATTAAGCCAACCTCCTCCACCACAACCACCCTGCCGCCATAAACGTGATTTATACGAAGATCCATCCATATTTGAACAAGTCGATCAACAAGCTATTACTGTTGCCGAAAGCGAACAAACATCTTATACCGAATTAATCGATCAACTAACATATGGTTTATTAACCGATTTAGAGAAGGCTCGGTAAGTTTTTTTGTTGTTCTACTTGACTTCATACGCTTGAACTCTAAAATCTTAGAGCTATTTTTCGATGGATAACTGTCAAAGATTTAAATGCAATTGATTTTCAAAATAATCTTGCTTCTGACACACCGATGGGTTTATTACGAGGCATAAAATATGGTACTGAAACTTATCATACATTATTTATGCGTCTATGCAGGTAAGAACTGTCAAATGAAGAAGGAAATTTCATTGTGTTTGTTTTCTCATTGAATCAGTTTTGCTGGCTTGCATTGTGTTGACGTGAAAGGTCATTCGAAAAGTGTAGGATATGAGCCAGGTATGCGAATTGCTGAAGGTAAATTTACCAACACCTGGAATGCAGTTTTAATCGATGGCGAATGGCGATTTGTTCAATGTAATTGGGGCGCAAGGTCTATTTTTGCTGAATAATCTTTCTTGTTTAATTGCTTCTTGCTGTTTAGACATTTAGTAATGAGTAAAGATAAAAAACAAGTAGACAAAGCACCACCGGCGCCAACTCGAGAAAAAATTAAATATCAGGTTTTTTAATTATTCGAGATTTTGAGACAAACTAGCGCAATTTTTTTCCTTTTTTTTAGTATGATGAACATTATTTTCTTCCTGATCCCGAAGATTTTATTCTTGAATTTTTTCCATTTAAACCCGAATGGCAATTACTTGAATCTCCAATAAATTTAACACAATTCGAACAATTACCATTTGTTCGTTCGCTCTTCTTTCATTATCATTTGTCGTTTGTTAATCAACAAAATGCAGTCATTCAAACGGACAACCGTGGCGCATGCGATATTAAATTGCGTATGCCCGATTCCTTAAAACATCGTTTAGCATTTCACTTTCATTTACGTTTTGCACATGCAACAAATGCAAATGGTCAAACTGACGATTCCATTGACATTCACGGTGTTAAACTTGAACGTTATGTTTTACATACAGTTCAAGATGATTTAGTTTCATTTAATATTCATGTACCACAAGAAGGAGATTATTTTATTGAAATATTCGCATCACTTGTGGTAAGAAGCAATAATAATAATAATAATAATAGCTAATTTAGCATCGAAAATTTTATATTAGAAAAACAGAGACTAGTTGTGTTTCAAAACGAAGAGAATTTCTCGAAGTAATTCTTTTCGTCACATGGCGAACAAAAAACGATATTTGATCTAGTCAATAAACTTCGAATAATTTGCGTGAATAACTATAGAATTTATTCAAGATATCGGTTTACCACCTATTCGAAGAGTGGTGTGACCTTAGAACTCAAATATTCTTATGACTGACCTAGAATAAATCTCACTCGAAATAGTTTTTGTTCATTCGTTACCGAGATCGGACATGAAAGCTGTTTAGCAACTCAAATAGCCAGTTTATAATTTAGCTAAATTCCGAATATAGCCTCGCAAATCTCGGTGAAGACATAAGAAATTGCTTTTTCTTTCGTTCTCATTTCTAGGAACCTGATCCGAACCCGTATGGACAAAGTTTTAAATTGAAATGTGTTTGTAAATATCGAATTGGATGTCCACAGCTAACACAACGAATGGTAACAATTTTTATTTTATTTCCAATCATCGATTTTCTTTGTTTAGCATCCCCTTCCAGCATGTGCATCAGGTGAATGGGGGCCGACGAAAGCTATCCGTCATTTCAGCATTCATCCTCTAACACATTTTCAGTCGATATTTGAAACAAATCATTTGCCAATACTCATTAAATTTCAATGTCCGAAAATACTTAAATTTCACGGAAAACTAAATTCCAATCAACATGCAACCGTTCCCAACAATAATAATACAATGCCTAGTACTGCTGTGCCAAATATTCTAGATAAATATGTTAAATATGAATACAGTGAACAGGATTTGACAATAACATTTATGATAAATTTACCTACCGAAGGTCAATATGGTTTCGATATCTACGCGCGTGATCCAGAATATCAATCGGAAAAACGAACTATGTCACATTGTTGTAAATATATTATTAATTATTCGAAAACATCGATGCCTTCACCAGCGCCTATCATTGAAACAAAAACTAACAATAATAATTTCTATCATGACTACTCATTCGATAATCCGAAGTCGAATGGACAACAACGAATCGGCTCATCAACTAATAGCAAAATTGAACGAAGTCTTTCACCTCGTAAGTAAATCAAAAACCAATCATAATAGTTGCTTTGAGAATTGCTACGCCGCGGAGTCTTTCCGGCAGCATAAAACTACGAAAAATCTATTTCAAAGACATTCCCAATGCGGTTTCGATCCCGGGAGTATCTAAGCAGCTAGTTTGATACTCGTCGATAATATTCATATATGACTCTGTTTCAGGTTCCATATCCTCGAATAGTTCATCTTCGTTACCCATACCGAAAGTAGGAGGTAATACAAGTGTACTTTCTCAACTTGGTATGAGTCCAATCAGTCATTCTGATCCATCCATAACACTTCAATCAACAAATTATATTGAATTACAATTTCAAATCCGTAAAATGGTAGACTTTTCATTTGATCTCATTTATCATCATACATTCAATGATTTATCTACGCGAACACCGTCAACCAATTTAAATCAGCATTTAAGTGCATCAGATTATGTTGCAATAAAATCCACTGGTGGTTGTAATGTTACGTTTGCACTCAATTTACCTAAACCAGGCGTTTATACATTTACGATTTATGCAGCTACACCCAATACACAAAATGGACAGGGTGAACTACCAGCTGTTTTTACTTATTTACTTCGTTATGTTTAGAATGTATTTGTTTTTTTTTTAATATATCAATCATAAAAAAGAAAAGGATTTTATGATTTTTTTGTGGCCTTCTTCAAGTAGCCTGTTTCTTTTTCTTCGATGACGATTGAGCAATATTCGTATAAACAAACTGCCTTTTCACATAAGGTTTCGTTGACATGTGTTTCATTATTTGTTCAATTGATTGATTTAAAATAGTAGGTGTATTGAATGATCATCAATTCTTTTTCAATAGAAGCCAATCTTGCAGAAGGTCATTATATCGATAAAAAAAAGTCGTGTTCATCGGAGTGAGAGAGATATATATAAATACTGAATGTTCATTTGATAATGAATTGAACACTGGAATAAAAGTGATTTCCGCTCCGATAGAATAAAATACTAATTCCGGACGAACATTTTTTTATCAGAAGAAATCAAGATAAAAATAAAAGATTGATTTTGTAGGGTGTAAATATAATTATTGGTATCACGTACAACTTCATTCAATCCTTGACATCGTTGAAATATGAGAAATAAAAGAAACTAAATATAATCCGCATAGGTCAAAGTCAAGTGATTTATTTGAATACGGAAGAGCTTTTAGGCGTGGCCACGATATATACATAAAGACAAATTCAATTACTGCTTAGAGATTATCATATTGTGTCTACGTCATCTTCTATAGCGAGGCATCCTATGACATTAAACATGATGCAATCAAAAGGGTCAAGAGACCGATTAATGTCCAACAGACTTTTATTTGATTAACATAGAAGGAGAAGAAAAAAAAAGAAGTTCGCTGATGATTTTTCTCTTTCCGAAATGATTCATTTAGATTGTCAAAGAATAACAAAAACGTTCGAATCAATAATTAAATACATATAATCAATGTGTAAATTATAGTTTTTGCTGATCTTTCAAATCGGAAGAAGTCAATTTTCAAACTTCCTTTTCTTCTAAATGAGACACACGCAGTTTCTTTTTGCTTTCTTAGTTCAACTCATGGACGCAGCAGGATGTGTCTGCTGTCTGTATTGAATTTTATTTTCTTTCAAGTATTTATTTTCATTTACATCGATCGAAGGGAGAGAGAGGGAGAGAGAGAACAGTTATCTTCTCGTGTGCGATAGGACTAAAAAGTAAGTGAACAACAAGTGCCTTAAAAAACATTTGATCTATCGCAGAGAGAAAGAAGAAAGTGTTCAATGTCCACTTGAGAAATGACGACCACTGTTTCGTCGGGCGGAGAGAATAAAGAATCTGTCATAACAAAACAAAATGAGTAAAGTAAGTAGTGGAAGAATATCTAATGATATAAAGGTTGTGTAAGTAGAAAAATCACTAAAAAAAAAGAGAAGAAAAGGAAACCGCTTTGTACACTTGATTAAATTTTGCGTGCACTAAAGAAATTAACACTCGAACGAATGAACTAACGTTTTTTAACGGAAGGCCATCTTGGACGTGCAGGAAGATCGATTAACGATGAACTAACTTAGACTTCATATGATCACGTAATGAACAACGTAAGTATACAATCCGTTCGATCATAGCTCGGCAATACATGCGTACTATATTTAAATGCAAAATCTTTGAGGAAAGAATTTTTTCTCTTTGTATGACATGTTAAAATAAAATTATATGAAAGAGACAGAAGTCTTGGAAGTGTTAGTTATTCTTAAATTATGATCTTATGTATAGTTGCGTGACATAGGCGATATATGTCGCGTGTCCTACTAAGGTTTCTCGAGTGCGCATGTCTCTTCATCATTACTATTGTCGTCGACGCCGCCGTCGCCGTTCAACGATTGACCATTGCTATTGTATGACGCATGGGAAGCAATTCAGTTTCATTCATTTTTAATCAATTTGTAAATAAAAGGCAAATGCGCATTCGTTTTCTCAGTTGACTATCTTTATCTATACATATTTCTCTGTATATCTATGCGCTGTGTTATTCTAATTACTATGATACAGACTCTATTGTGAGTGCGTGTCTTAGAAAATGATTACAACATGATACAAACATTTATTATCTTTTCTTCTTCTTTTCCATTAGCAGCATTGCAATGATACGAGTGATTGTTTTGTTTTAGAATATTGTCTAAAAATGAATATCCTTCAACAATGGCTATTCTTTATTGTGATCATTCATATCAGCGGTAAGTTTCTCAAACAAAAAGTCGATTATGTAGAAGATATTCATAGTGGAAGTCTAAAAAACAAGTGATAAATCTTCGGAGAATAAATTAAATTGATTGAGTTTAGACTCATACATATTTTATTAATGTGTATGCGACTGAACAGAAAGAATAAAGTAGACAACAATATCAAGTGTTCTGAGGTCAATACACTAAAATAATAACTGTTCAATTGTTTACCTGTTTAGCATTTGAATAAGTATCGAAATCTATTGCATAATAATTCGAATCGAAAATTTCTATTGTTTTTACTTAGCTGAATTGCAATCGTCACATAGACTAGTCACAGCCGAATATGGCTCTGATCTATCTCTTTTGTGCACATTTCAAAATCGCGATAGCGACGGAACAGTAGGTTTTGTTTTGTTTTTGTTTAAAATAAATGAATAATTGAATTTAGATTATTCAATGGCTTTATCAAAATGCTACCGATAATATTCGTCGAGCTCATTGGAGACCATTGTTTCTCAATGCGCAATCATTAACACCGAAAGAAACACGTTATAGTATACAGCAGAAAGTACAACAAATCAATCGAACATTTATAACTTATTCGACAATACTAACGTTAGCTAAAGTAACGGATTTCGATGAAGGTCTCTATATATGTAAGTTGCTTTCCAATGAAACAATGCAAATGACTTATCAAGTTCGAGTTATACGTAAGCTCGACCAATAGAATAAAATCATCGTTGATTGTTCTCGTTTTCAGAAAGTCTTGATATAACACCGAAACAACTATTGATTCCATCGAACGAAATTGGTCAATATTCAGTACGATTGAATTGTATATTAAGAGATAATCATATGAACCGACGTCATCATGAAATTTATTGGTGGCATAATAATAAACGACTTGGCTCGCAAACAAGTCGATATGCACGCATAGTTAAAAATGTTACTCAACATTCATTTATTTCGACTTTGCTCTATACGGGCGAACCAGCGAATGTCGCAGGAAAATATATATGTGAATCGAAACCACTACGAAGATATATTTCAGTTGAATTGAACTCAGGTAGTTCACCAGGTTCGAATGAAAAACGATTTTTTTTCAAATGAATGGAAAATTTTATTTGTTCTCTACATTTTAGTTTTATCCATCAGTTCATCTTTTACTTTAATTATATCAATTTTTATATTGATATTCCATTACGAGAATATTGATTAATCGTTCGACGAAATCCGTAAATTTCCGGTGAAATTCTTTTCTACTTTTTAATTGTTTCATTCGTACTTTTTTTTGTAGTTTAAATAAAAATACTAATGACTTTTCAGATGATTTTAAACTCATTGTATATAAAATATCAACCCGACTTTTCTGTTATTTCATCTTATCGAAAGATTTTTTTGTTGATATATCCTAACTGATATTCGACCATCAGCCTAATCTACAAGAAAAAGTCATCGGATCGTTCGAGACTATCCATTCATTTAGTTTTTCGAATGAAAATTGTGTCGATCAAGTAGATAAAAGAAATATAAATTTGCGAATTTATATATAGCTCAGCATTTCTTTTGTTGATGAAGACATCGTACCAAAATAAAATATTCTGAGCATGATGTAAAGTACAAAATATAACTAATGAATCGAATACAAATAATCGTAGAGACCGCAAATGACAGTAAATTTTCAACAAATTGTATTGTTTAACATTGATTTATTTTCTTGTAGAAGTAACATTATTTAACTTTTGCTTTCGTCATTTTTATTTTTCTAAATAATATACAAAAGACGGAAACAGATGAACATAGTATGCAGTGAAATATTTTCGTTGTCGTTAAAAGAATAATAAACGTATTTGTGAGTTAAAAATAACAAATCAAGCACATGAAATCCGCCTACTTTCGTCTGAACGTCTATCAAGTTCAAGAAAAAAATTATATAAAGAAAGTAATAATCAATGAGTTTAATTTTCAAAAGAATTTATACAAAAAGTAATGACTTGTCTTACAGAGTCAGAAGTCTTTTTGTCTGAAGTGATTTAGATAATGAATCTATACTGGTATTCAGTAAAGCAGACGTACGACTTTTACAGTAAATACCACAGCGAGAAAGTTAATGATGATTGAGAGAAGAAAAACTTTCCAGTAATGAAAAAGACGTACTAGCGCACATTCAGCATTTGATTCTCTAGAAAACTGAACACGGATCCCATAAAAGCGAAGACTAAAACTTTACTGCAGGATAAATGCGTGACTCATGTTCCAACTTGGTGAAGATCTATTTTAGTTGTATATTTAAAAATTTTCGAAGTGAAACTTTCTTCTCGTGTGAATTTTTTTCTTAAATAAGAAGAAAAGTGTTTTCTTTAGTCAGATAACTCTTCTTTTATACAAGAAGATTTCGCCATGAAAATCCATTGAAACAGGACATTCATATTCTGTACTGGCAATACTTACTCTAATAAGTGTATTGCTAAAATGAGTAAAAATAGCAAGGGGAAACTCATTCGGATATTCCCTGACACTCGAATGGCTCTGAATGCGTTTATTCTCCTTTGAGCGAAATAAATTGCTGACATGTTACGAAATGATAGGGTGACTTGCATTTACTGATCATCTTCCTTTTTGATTGATCGACAACTATGAAGTCCAACAGCTTGCAAATGTCTCACAAAATAATAAAGTCAATAGGACTTCGCATTTGCTTATCTTTCTACGTGTTTCTACTTTTCTATCTTAAGATATCGATGAATACTCATCTCAATAGAAATAGTATTGTAGAATTTGTTGATACATACTATCACTTCTGACAATGTATTGTAAACGAGCCAATTAATTGTCTCATATGATGGAGATACCATATGCTTACGAAAAGAGTATCGTTGAAAGCAAGAGTACCTATACAGATATTCTGCATGTCCTATTTATTTATAAACAAAATTAAAAGCTTCAAGATACTGCATACTTCATGATTTTTGATAGAGGATCAATAGTATGCTTAAAAGAATTTCATTTGTTTAAATTAAATTCTTTTTGTACTTTTATTTATAGATATGAATAAAAAGAAACGGAAATAACTGCGATTTGTTGAAAATGATTTTAAAAGAATATCAAAGTATGAATTATCAGTATGATTTATCTTTTCTTTTCAACATAACAAAGCCAGTTTATAAAGGACATCGATCACGAAGAAAAAATCCTATCTATTGACAAAGCGTCTCAAACGTAAATTGCAATTTTCTACCGTCAACTTAAGTGAAAATAATAATTATCACATTAAACATTTCATCGCAAAATATCCGGATTGAATCATCTCCTAGATCCATCAAAAGCAGTATCAGTTGAAGCCATGAAAAAAAGTGATGATTTGATTTCCCTATCATCATCATCATCATCATCTCCATTCGTAGTCAGATCTAATCAATCCTGATAGGATTATATTATTCTTAACAGGTTTCTACTAATATTTTCTTTTCTTCACAGAAATAGCGATATATTGAAGAAAAAAAATTCATAAATTGAATGTAAAGTTAAATTATTTTTTTTTCTCTTTAGTGAATTTGGGTCCTTCACAATGATCGCTGATAGAAAGAAAACGTGTTTGTTAAAATTTAATTTTCTATCTCGTAAATTAAAAAGATTGTTATCGTTGTTGTTCTTATTTTTTTTCTCATTTTGTTCCTAATATTTCTGAAAAGTATACGTTTAGTTATTATTGTATGTGTTCTTATTTGTTTATTGGCAACAATAATAGCAAGAATAATGATCTTGTTTTGTCTTTTTATTTTCGATCAATGTAAACTATATAAATAAATTTTTCTTTCGATTTTCGAATGAAATGATATTTTATGTACTTGTTAGAACTTTTGAATTTAATATAAAGAATTAATCAATACACAGACAAAATCATCGGCAGAAACAAAATAATATTCTTCTTTTCAACAGTAGTCTATATTACAAAAAGGCTAAATAGTTTTTTCAGGACTATTGTAACACATTCTCAGTCATAGAATAATATGAAAAATGAATACGTCGATTCTCCTCTTTTTGTGTACAATAAAATCTGCACGTTTTTTCTAAGCATTTAGATTCAAGAAACGATAGATAGACCATTTAGATCTATGAAAAACTGAGCGGTCACTTTCATAATTTTTTCAAAACACGATCAAAGTCACAGATCCTACATATATGAGTCTCGCTGTTCTCCGTAGCAACTGCAAATTGTTTAAAATATTGATATAAATTCATTAATCAAAATGGATTCTGGTGGTTCCTGGTGGGATCTGCGACTCCTGATGGACTCTAGAATCCGCCAGGAGCCGCTTTTTCCTCCTTGCGAAAGCTAGCTGCCGAACACAATAATAGCGAAAAATAAAATGTCGATAATATGAAAATAGCGAAGAATATATTTTCTCATAAATTAAAAAAAAAATTAAAATTCAGTAAGTGATATTTTATTCCTTCGCTTCCTTGCGTTATCTATTTTAACTGACTAGCGATTTTCGTCAATAGTATCCTCGTAGAATTTAGCTGAAGGAATGAGCACGAAGAAAGAAAAAATGTATATAAATAAAATAAAGATACGTCATATCCTGTTTTTTTTATTATTACATATCACTTTCTGTTAATTTAGTATAATTTTTAAAGCCCAGGATGAACGTTATGACGGTCGTAAACGATCGTATACGACGCCGTAAACGACCGTATACGATCGTATTTCGTCGTATTACTTGACCCTAGAATTACGACCGTAAGTCGTCGTGTCGTATACGACGAAATACGGCGTGTTACGTTGGTCGTATACGATCGTAAATGTGATTGAACACTGTCGTAAATCATTGTATGATGGTTCTTTTAAGATCTTTTATGGAACCATTTACTAGTTTTTATCTAATCTAATCAATGCTGTACTAGACAAAAAAAATTTTCCATTGTTTCACTATTAGTGAATCTGTTCATACCAAGCTCCAATAGGCATTTATTTTAATAATCTTAGTATATACAAAATTATCTTTTTTCATTAAAAAAAATATAGCCCAATTTAAAAAAATATTCATTTATCGAATCCATTAATGATTTGACTGGCAGCGTATTGCATTGTATTGTGCTTAATAATCGTCGAGTTTTCGTCGTAATAAAATTTTATAAAATAATCCAAAATTGGCCGAATCTAATTTGAATTTGAAGCGAACTGCATCTAGTTTAAATGAGATTTCATGATTGGCGAAAGACAGATGGAAGTTTTTGCATACCAAGAAATGTTGTGAATTGTTCTTGATTAAGTGGTTCTGGAGTAAGATGTGCTTTACCAATTGGTACAATACAGTTTTTTCATTATTAGTAAAATTATTCGTGGAATTTTTCGAGGATAAT